GGAATTAAATTATTAAATTTGTTTTATGTTCTAAAGTTCCAAATTTTTTAATATTTAAATTCGTAAATTTCTAGATCTGCAAGTCCATGATTCTTAAATTACCAAATCTCCAATTCCAGAATTATCAAATTCCCAAATCTCAAATTCCAGAATTATCAAATTCCCAGATCTCCAATTCCATAATTCTCAAATTCCCAGATCTCCAATTCCATAATTCTCAAATTCCCAAATCTCCAATTCCATATTTCCAAATTTCCAAATTTCCAGATTTCCAAATTTCTAAATTTCTAAATTTCCAAAATTCTCAAATTCCCAGATCTCCAATTCCATAATTCTCAAATTCCCAAATCTCCAATTCCAGAATTCTCAAATTCCCAGATCTCCAATTCCAGAATTCTCAAATTTCTAAATCTCCAATTCCATAATTCTCAAATTCCCAAATCTCCAATTCCAGAATTCTCAAATTCCTAAATCTCCAATTCCATAATTCTCAAATTCCAAAATTACTAAATTCCAAAATTCTCAAATCCCAAAATTACCAAATTCCAAAATTCTCAAATCCCAAAATTACCAAATCCCAACATTCCTAAATCCCAAAATTCCCAAATCCCAAAATTCCCAAATCCCAAAATTCCCAAATCCCAAAATTATTCCCAAATCCCAAATCCCAAATCCCAAAATTCCCAAATCCCAAAATTCCCAAATCCCAAAATTCCCAAATCCCAAAATTCCCAAATCCCAAAATTCCCAAATCCCAAAATTCCCAAATCCCAAAATTCCCAAATCCCAAAATTCCCAAATCCCAAAATTCCCAAATCCCAAAATTCCCAAATCCCAAAATTCCCAAATCCCAAAATTCTCAAATTTCCCATCCACCAATCTCCAAATCCCCAAATTTAAAAATTTCCAAACCATTTTATTCTCACACCTTACACTTAACATCGACGCAATCATTAAAACCAGGGACCCCAAACCCCAACTTACGCCAACGTATACCAAAATACCCTTTCTTTCTTTGGACGTTCAAATTTTTAATCTCGTATTCCTTTAAGTATAAAGTACATCAACTATAAATATTCCATGTGTTCATGCAGGAAAATATCATATTGTAACGCACAAAACTTAAACGAAGAATATTCTTCGAACGAGTTCCTCTTGCGTCGCGTGAAATACAAACGAAATAATTATAAACGAAAACTGCCATTTTTAATTATTAACATTGATATACTCGTGAAGATTGATAATTATCGTAGCGGTAATATAACTTATTCGTTGTTCTACCCTGAATGTGAAATGGAAATGGGAAAATTGGTGTGAAAGAATGTGAGAATTCGCTGCGATGGCGGATGTTCGGTTCGATCGCATTCTCGAATTTCGTGAGTCCGATACTGATCGCTCCAGTTTGTTCCACCATCGCTAATGAAAAAGCAGCGTTTGTCAAAAACAAGTGCTACATTCGTTGGTTCATCTTGTAAAACACATAATATTCGTCAAAATTTAATAATTTAAATCGACAAAACTCTTTTTTTTTAACTCGTATTAAAATACATTAAAAACAAGTAAAATAGCTTTCAGTACCATTATTTTATTTAACAATTTAGCTTATAATTGATAATTTTAATGATTGTTGATTTTCAAGTAAATTATTTGATAATTTTATTAAATTATCAAGTACAAATAATTTTACAATGTTTAAAAAATGAATAAAATATGGAAGAATATTGGTACACATTAAAGCTCGCTGATCGATTAAATATTTTTATTAAATAATTTATATTAAAATTTGTTGTAAATATTGTTCACACAGAATTTGATCGAAAAATTTGAATATTGATGACGTAAAAATGCTGTACACTTCTTTGATGTTGATTTTAAATTTCAAAGTGGATTTCATGTTCATCCAATTACAAACCAAACTTTTTTTATAATATATGAACGTAGCTCAGAAGCTAAAAAATTTAAAAGCGTTTGTAAAGTGGATTATTCGTTTTTAAAAGCTCGCAAAGTTAAACTCCATCATTTATTTCGCTACGGCCGGATACAAAAGGATTCAAACAACTGAAATGTTAAAATAATAGAAGTTCGTTGATTTTTCATTCTGGTTATATCTTTTGGACGAATAATAGCAAGTTAAGATAAATGGATTCAAATGTTAAATTTTTTTGGGGAGGGTCAGAATAGGCTTTGGTAAAATAATTGAAATTTTATTGTGTTTACTAAATATTTTGATTACCAAACATATCAGTATTTGTAGAATTAAAAATTGATAAATATTGTATGCTTTACAAGGTTGGAAATAATGGATTCCTTTGGATGAAAGAAAGTGTGAGGAACTTTTCAAGTTTTTAGAGGTCTAAAGTTAAGAAATTTTATAATTTTGTAGGCTCGAAATAAGATTCCAAGAACTCAAAATACCAAAGTCTCGAGAACCAAAGAATCAGGATCTCAAAAGCTCAATTTTCTAAGATCCCAATTTCCCAAGGTCCCAATTTCTCAAAGTCCCAATTTCCCAAGGTCCCAATTTCTCAAAGTCCCAATCTCTCGAAGTCCCAATCTCCCAAAGTCCCAATCTCTCGAAATCCCAATCTCCCAAAGTCCCAATCTCTCGAAATCCCAATCTCTCGAAGTCCCAATCTCCCAAAGTCCCAATCTCTCGAAATCCCAATCTCCCAAAGTCCCAATCTCTCGAAATCCCAATCTCCAAAAGTTCCAATCTTCCAAAGTCCCAAACTCTCGAAGTCCCAATCTCCCAAAGTCCCAATCTCCCAAAGTCCCAATCTCCCAAAGTCCCAACCTTCCAAAGTCCCAATCTCTCGAAATCCCAATCTCCCAAAGTCCCAATCTCTCGAAATCCCAATCTCCCAAAGTCCCAATCTCTCGAAATCCCAATCTCTCGAAGTCCCAATTTCCCAAAGTTCCAAAATTCTAAAATTCCAACCTCCCAAACTCCTAATCTCCCAAAGTCCCAATCTTTCGAAATCCCAACACCCCAAAATTCCAAATTCCCAAACTCCCAAAATTGCAACGTCCCGCCAAAAACTACCCCCTCCCCTCAGTTCCCCCTTTAATTCTCCGAAAATTCTCCGTATTTTCCCTCAAAATAAAAATCGTATTCCTCTCACACTTACTATTATCAAAAAGGAATCGTACGTAGCACCCGTTAGTACAATCGTACAGAATAATAACAGAAACCGCGGCGGCGTGTAATATACAGAAATCTCACAGTTCGCGATGCCGAGAAAGAAGATGATTACGTTTCGAGCCGCGTAGCCCGGTGTTCGTCCACGGGGCACGCGACCATGCCACTTGTTTCAATCGATTCGATCCGATTTAATTAAGCCTCCGTTCAGCTCGCCTAAGGCTTTTAGCCGTGTATGCTTCACACAGACAACGAATCTCTCGACTTGCCAAACGACTCGCGGCTTACGTTATTGTTTGCGACCCCTCGACGCGATTGTTTAACCGCTAAACTATCGTCAAGTAGGGCAGGACTTACAAAACGAAAAGGAAAAGAAAGAAAAATATATATGCAAAAATAAATCCACGAAAGATACCGAATGCGCTTGAACGAATCGTTTCTCGTTTGATTTTTTCAAGGGTTGTTAACATGTTCTTTAGGGTTACATTCGAATCGAAATCATTGAACATACAGAGCGACGATATATATTTTGCGGTGCAAAATTTTTTGCGAATTCTGCAATGTTTAAAGAAAATGAAAACGTAAGTTCCTCTGTAAGACGTTATTCGAGGTAAATGCAATTCGGAGCCTAAATGTTTGTACGATTGCTGGTCATGTTATATAGGGAAGAAAAAAGTATTATGTGTGCTTGTAAGTGTGCTGTATGATGATTTTCGACGTTGCGATATTTGTTTGCGATCACGTTGATAAGTCTTGTCTTACACACGTTTTAGACGCGTTGTGCTTGGACCCGCAATGGAAACACCGTGTGTTTCTTCCTTAAACGGCACTTCTTGGAGATACAACGACAAGCAGGTCTAGTTTCCGAACTTTTAGAATTAAGTTTCGAACGTTAGCTAAACGGTGCCATTTTTGTGCCATCGCTTTCCTTCCTTGCAAACGGCTTAATTAGGATGTTGTTTATCATTAAAACCTCATTTCGAGCAACGATTTGAAAGGGAATTAACGGAGAACAAAATACGAATTGGATTAATTGAACAAAGCGATGCTCGATTTGAAAATCGCGCATTAACCGCTTCAAGGATGACTTTTTTAAAAGTTCTAATTTTTTTCTGACTAAATCAATAGTGATGTAAGAAATTACAGAAATATTAAACAATATGTTCATGTACGTGGCCATGAACTCAAAAGAATTATGTGTGTCCTTGAAAAGGTTGAGAATCGTGATGGTCGATAAAAGAAGGCGAGAAAACGATGTAAAATTTATCGAAATATAATATACAGAGTAATCGTGAAAATAGAGTCAAAGAAATTAATCGGGTGAAGAGCACTGTTGCTTCAATTATATAAAAGTCACACTCCTCACGGTCCTAAGGTCCGAGAATATAAAAGAAAGTAATACGAGACGAAGCACGTGAAAGACGTATGAGAGAAAGACGTATTGAAAGACCTAGTTTGTCGCACTCGTTTAAAAAAATCTTACTCACAAGAATGCACACAAGAAGTAGCGTACAATCGGTGTACACTCGTTTGTTGACGCGAATAAATATGCGAATTACAGAGTCGATTTGATTTGTATATGTACACGGTGAGCCCGAGGTTCGTGCGAGGACAGGCGCGTTTACGAAGAAACGAGAAGACGATCTGTGGATCTGATTTGCTTACTTTGTTGCCGGCGGCATTAATTAATCGATGATCAAGCCGCTTTTCATTTCTCGTAAACGCTAATGTCCTTTGCGGCGATTATTGTTATTATACGAACGAACTCAAGACGGCATGGTATACAAGACTAAGAACAAGACCTAAAATGGGGACATAATATTTTATAACTCAACTTTTGTACAGAATAAATAAATACTTGTACTGTGGACCAATATTTCTTTTATTTCATTGACACACCGACGTTAATGGACTTCGTGGCAAGCATCATAGATGCATCTCACCCCCTGAGATATCAGATTTATTTTATTTTGTACTCTATCGAGGAAAAGAATTCCTAATTAACTCAATTCTTTGCAATGGCTCATATATAAAAAACAACGGAATTATAAAATACTAAATAACGCCGTTTTTAATGCATAAAAAGATTCATCCATGACAAACATGTATGTACATTATAACAATCTTCTCGATTATCAGTTTTTCGTTTGAATTAATGGTATTATAACAATACTATTTTTCGCCTCCGGTATACGCCACCATCTTCCAAGACTATGTTCTTGACCAACCCCAGCAATAAGCTGTGTTCCGTCTGGAGTGAAACATAGCGCATTTATGAAACCTACTAGATGAATTTCAAATAATGGATTTAGTGATCTGAACGAGTCACCACACTGCCATAATCTAATAACGCCATTTCGAGATCCTACAATTGATATAAGAATTATTAAGTATATACAGGTAAGTATGTATAAGTATATAAATTATTAAAAGAAAGGTATATTCAATACCTGATGCGACTAAGTCTGTGTTGAGTAAAGTAGCGATACTAGAAATCCACATTGGTTGATTATTAGTTTCATCTCTACCGTGTGCGTCCGGTACCGAGCACAAAGGCTTTTTCTTTAAACAACCCCAAACACATAGCTGTCCATCATCCCCACAACTGAAAAAGTTTTCTTCGTTTATGAGTTTCACGCAGTCTATAGTACCACCGTGTCCGTTAAATATAAGTTGCGATTCTTCTACAATCTTCCAAATTCGAACTGTTCCGTCAAAACCGCCACTGGTAATAGCCCTTTCTCTGACAAGTGCGTCAATCGACGTTATACCACTCTGATGTCCAAATCTGATAGGATGAAAACAGAACATTATAACAATGAATAGTTTTACAATATAAAACAAAAATTGGTACTTACAAAGATTCAACATATGCCATGTCATCTAAACTCCATACTTTTACGCTTCTGTCCTCGGAAGCAGAGTATAATGTATGTGTACTTTTGCGAAAAACTAAACCAGTCACAATATCTCTATGACCTTGTAAATTCTTTATGTGATCTAATGTATCTCCAGAAAATACCTTAATTTCTTTACAACCGCTATCTCCTACTGCCTTCAATCATAAAAATTCATGTTTCAATGTAGTAATATGTATAAGTATATCATAAATAAAAATGGCTTTACAGTCTCACCAAAAATTTACCATCAGTGCTAATGGCCATGCACCGTACAGATTTCATTCCTTCTTGTGTTTTCATTTTTCTTTTAACAACCTTTAACTTTGTTCTTTCTTTCAGACACCCTATGAAATAAATTAGATGTAAAACCTGGATTAAAAATAAATCACTTATTAGATATAAAATGGTAGATACATTTAACCAAACTGCCATCCTTTGAGCCAGAATATAAGAAATTCCCATTACTTGAAAGGCATATACAAGTAATAGAACTTTTATGTTCTTTACACCTTAGAACAATTGGTTCACCATGATTAATATATTTTGAAGCTACTGTTTTACGTAACCTCCCCTTTTCCTCTAAATACTCTTCACGTAATCGTTTTGTTACAGCTCCCTCTTCAAATTCTGCTCTATCTCGTTCTGTATTTCAATAAAAATAATATTAAAATCTGATGAATGAATAACAAATACTTTGAGTTTACCTTCTTCTTCTATTTGTTCTAGATACTGTTTTGCATATCTTATACGTTTCTCCTGGGCAGTTTCCTCTTCTTCCTCGCTTTCATATACTTCATGTCTGTAAAAATATAAAAAGAAATAAGGTTCAAACTTAATATTTAGATTTATTGTTAATAATGTATGGTTACCTGTGATTTTCTTCTGCAAGTTCTTCATCTGTGCTGGCGATGCTTTCATTGTCATCAGCTACAGGTTTCTTCACATTTTTCTTCCCTTTTGAAGATCCAGCGTGACCATTAAACTAATATATTATTATAAACATTTGTATATATATACATCATTTATCTCAAAAAACAGGTACATAAAGAAACTATTTCTTTAATTAAATAAACACAAAATAACACCAAATACCTTTCTCTTAGCCCCACTGCCACCTTGCTTATTTCGAATGAAAAATGACATGGTATTTATTTTATAAATAGTGTCTAAACATTTAACCTAAAATCACACGAGCACATGGCATGTACATTCAAGTCAGTGACTACACTGTTCAAGTGAACATCTAATTTCCCTAGAAAAGTCAGATTTGCTCTATACTGTACATATAAAAAATTCAACTTGTACTGTATCGTTCCTAAACTCACACTATTTTCTACAAGTGTAGTTTTTTCTAGATCCCTAGATCCTTACATTCTCAAATAAATCATGTCTCTTGACAGCAGAGGTGTGTAAAAAATATAAAATGTAATGAATTATCGATACTATATACCTGCCTGAATAAATAACAACAAATACTAAACTATTTATATATGTGGATATTTTTGATACAGTTTTTAGAACATGTTTCATTTATAGTTTATTTGAATGCGTTACATTTACGAACATAAAATAGTTGACAAATTACTGAAAATATAGATCACAGATGTCTGTCAAGTTTCGGAACACCTCGATTGCTATTACAAATACAACATAAACGCGTTTTTTGCAAAGTTTCATTCTGTTTTTTATTTACACGCAACTTACGTGGTTTGAGGTGATCATAGTTTTGTGACAATGCCAAGTAAAAAGAAAAAATATAATGCACGTTTTCCAGCGGTGAGCATCAAAATATTATGTGTACCTTAAAAAGATCTTTCATAAAAATATTGATATTTTATGTAAACGATGACTATTATTTTAATAAAATCAACATTGTGATTCATGTGCAGTTATTTTTAAATTGAAAGAAAGAATAAAATTATTATGAGAATAAGTATAAGTAAAAAGTTTAAATATGTGTGTCTAACCTATCTCTTGTACATTAGGGTCGAATTAAAAAAATTATGCAAACTGACGAGGAAGTTGGGAAAGTTGCACAAGCAGTACCAATTATAATTTATATCCTTTTAGACTATCAATAACAATAATCATTTTAATTAATATATTAATATACTTTAGCACCTTAGTGCTTAAGCGATTAACAATATTCCAATTTTAACAATAGCAATTCCTTAATTATTTGTATACCTAGAACATTAGAACTGTTTGTACATTCACTGCTTACAAAAACAATGGAGATTACAAGTGCCAAAAATGCGAAGACTTTAAGTCCATCACATATGTGAGTATAACTTTTTAAAACAATTTATTTTCATAAGATTTATGTAAAAACTTGTTAATAATAATAAATTCATTTTTAGGAAACAGTGTATTCTGTCAGAAAGCCGATTTGATTTTTTAAAGGATTTAGTGAAATCATTACCAGATGTATCAGGACCTGACGAAGAAGTGCCTACACCACCGTTGACACCTGCCCCAGTGAATACAAATGTATCAAATACATCTGTTTGTGCACCTGTGTTAAGACATACTGAAACAGGGTAAGTAAGTTCATATATTTTTCTTGCTTTCAAACTATAAATATACATTGATATTTTTATAGAGCTCAAAAACAACAAATGGGATTAAGTACCGAAGTAAATTTAGATCATAAAAATTCAAAAGATAATGGAGGAGCAGCAATACACAATTTGAGTGGTGTTAATGAAACAATTAAAGACACATCTGTCTCACAAGTTCCAGAATTTCAAATATCTGTGCCTGCATCATTTCAAATTAGTCAACCTAATTTTTATACAGAAGTTAATCCTATCAATTTAAGTACAAACACATCTGTTGTAAATGCAAATAATCAGATAACATCAAATTTTGCTCATACAGCTACGCTTGACGAAGATTATGATACATAGTCATTTTTCAATGCTAGGAGTATAAATTCATACATTATCAAATTCAAAACAGTTACAGAAGTATTTAATGGAACGTCACAAATTTTGATTTAAACTGTTCATTGTCGATAATTTAGAACACGTAATTTGCATTATTTGAGCAGTTTTGTTGCTTACATATGCTTTAGCAATCATAAAGTTTTGTATTTTTATATTTGTTTCATCAAATTGCATGAATGTTTTGTTCAAACTAGTTAAATTGATGTATTTGAAATTCAAGTACTGTCATACTTGATTAATATGAAGCACTTATATTTTTAGTACATTACTGTAAAGTATATACGTGTATAGTAAGTGTGAACATTTGAATTCACACAACTCTTGGATGCTATGAAACAAACCTACATTGCTATTATTTTGGACACAGTTTCTTTTCACTGTTTATATACATATTTATATAAGTCCATTGTACATTTGTGTAGGTACAAATACTTATTGTTAAGAATGTAGTTAGATTTATATTTAGTAACTGTCAAATTTTTTTAATGTACCTCAATTAGTTTATATATATTTTAGAATTGTTATCATTTGCAATACCATGTATACATAATAAGCTTTGTAACTAAGAATTTTTTTATTACACATGTATGTAAAATATCCGGTTTTTATATGGACAAACTTAATATGTAACAAGATATTTTATATGTTAACAACATTTAACAGATTTACTTTAAAAAATTGATGTTGTCAAGTGTTTCTCATTAGATGATACGTGTCATGTACTATTTGTTCTTGTACTTGATAGAATGTATATTTTATACTTTGTATATCAGTTTGGGGATACATGTAGAATTATTACACACAAGTGATCAGAATATTTTGACGAAAACTGTTAAATGTTTTGAAATTCAGTATGTAAAAGATACAATCGAGTAAAAAGAGTCTATTAAAATTTATAGAAATTTAAATTTTAATACTATTTTATTTATACATTTGTCATGATTTTACAATACGCTTATTTATTTTAAAAAATCATGAGCAGCACTTGGGTGAAGAATACTTGTTAGAAATTAATATGTAAAATGTATATTTAGGATATTATCTGATTTCATACATGATTTGTAATTATGAAATATGATTTATGTCAGTAGATGTGATACTCAAACATAGTAAAAAAGCCATTTAATTAATAAATATACATTTTGAGATAAATGATCTATCTGGATGTTAATTAGAAGCAATTAGATTGTATACATCTTATCATACTGTACATAGTTAAGGTTATAAAAATCTTATTAAGAGAAGGTTTTTAATTATTCTTATAAAGGATAAAGTCAAGACTAAATTTGTTTGAAACAATTCGAATTAATTATTATTTATTTATTTATTATTATAATGACAAAAATAAAAAAAAGTAACATATTTATTTCAAGTAAAAGTTACAAGATCAATTAAGAACTTTCTCATTTAAAACTGGTATGTACATTTATATTATATCATTGTAAATAAATACGCGTAGAATTATTCTAGTAAATTCATTAGTTCATATTACAATGATGTATTTGTAAATAATTCTGAAACATTGGAAATAATATAAATACTATAAGATTTTGATGCCTTGAAAGCAATAAAAATGACAATATATTTAAATATATTTTTTATAAAGTTTACCTATTAAATACAGAAAACTTATATAAGACAAGTTAAATTTTTATTTTTCCATTAATGATTGATTTAAAATGAAAGATCGAAGGAATATTATTTTATATAGTTTAATAACATTCTTTATCATTCTTCAAAATAGATAATATATATAGAATTAAATGATTAATCTTTCAAATATTGATAATTCAAAGTAATAAAACAGTACCTTGTAAAAATATGCGCACAAATTCAAATTGCATATAAACATTCGATATTTCGATACTTGCCTAGTGAAATTGGTTCGATATCCCTAGACAAATGATATTTCGTTCTGTATAGTTATAAATAATTTCCGTAAATTTATTTAAAAAATTCTTCGTATCAATGTCTATCTACACGCATTTAATTTCACTTATTTTTGCAAATATATGATAAATATTTATACATAGCCTATAGTCAAATCTTAAAAAACGTTTTGTTATTTGTTTAGCATACTTCAAGGGAGCAAAAGGCTTCCTAATTAGCACAATGTATGCTATTTGCGTATAATTTTCATAAATCTATGTTATTAAGTGCTTCGTATCAACAAACATTTTTGACATTTAATAATCATTTTGAAAGTTGCAAATTTAAAGATTTTTAATTTAACTTTCGCATCATAGAGAATATATGTACTCGAAATCGTACCATGCTTTTACATATTGTTTAACATGAACAACTGTTTGAGGAAATTTGAAGTTTGACGTGTTTTCCAACAGTTTACGAAGAAATATAAAGAAATGAAGTGATACTGAAGTTTCAATTTTTTTTTTAGGTAACACAGTTCATTCTAATACGTCATATAACAAAGGCTTTGTTCTGATGATTCATACCTTTTCCTTGTAGTCTGAAATATGTTCATTTTTTATTCAGATATATTACTAATAAATCTTTTAAGATAAACCCAAATGTTTTGCATCTTACATATAATCTGCTAGCATTACCAGAGTAGTTATAAATCATCAAATTAATTCATAATACTATCTGTTTATGTTTTGGTTTTAACATTATTATTGTTTAATATTTGTAAGGGTTTAAGTAATAAGATTGATTACTTTGTTATTTTATAAGTATATTAGTGCTACTAGAAAAATGTATCTATGCTATGCATTTCAATAGAGTTTTATCCAAAAAGCATGAAGATACTCATAATTAATAATATGTAATATGTTAATTAATTTGTGTGATGTAATAACAAGTATTTAATTATAATTTTTTTTAATTTTATAATCTTGTGAACTGTTAAACAGTTAAAATTGTATGTAATGTTTATAGAAATTAATTCTCTTAAACTTATAAATGACTATAAGATGTGAAATTTTTGTTGTGTAGTAACTTATGGCTATTCGCTTAGTGTAGATCCAGTATATAGCTTATATATTTGCTTATTAGGTGCATTGGAACATAAGTAGTGCTGCTCATCTGTTCGAGTACAAGTATCTCTATGATGTTTTCGTCAGGTCTTAGCTGCAATTTGTCCTTCCCCAGTTGTCTGGGTTACCCACAGGACAGTGAAGAATTGATACCAAAAATGGCTCGTGAGCCAATAATTCTTAATGTCTATGATATGGTAAAAAAAAAGGTTTTTTTAATTTTTAACAATGTATACTTTTCAGTATATTACATTTTTTCTTTTAGTATTGGATAAATGAATATACAACGCCAATCGGATTGGGTGTTTTTCATTCGGGTGTTGAAATTTATGGAACAGGTATGTTTACAATATAATTATATCTATTCTAAAAAAATAAACCATAACTTAAGCAGTCATAATCCATGGACATGATCAAATTTATTGTGTCATGCAATTTGGACATTCAACCTTTCACTTTCATAATTTATTATGGTAATATTGTTATGGTAATTTAAGAAATTTATTTTAATAGAGTATGCATATGGAGGCCATTCTAAACCAATTTCTGGAATTTTTGAAATTACACCAAGAGTTGCTGAAGAATTGGGAGAACAGTTTAGATATAGGTAAGTTTATTAATTTGGATGCAAGAAGCTGATCATTTAGAAATAATTTAATTTTTCATTATAGACAGTCAGTACATATTGGATACACAGACTTTACAGAAGAAGATGTTACTAGAATTGTTACTGAATTAGGAAAAGATTTTAGAGGCGATCGTTACCACTTAATGAATAAAAATTGTAATCACTTTAGTAGTCAACTTACCCTTGTATGTACACACAAAATTATAATGCAATACTCATTTTCTTATTTAATACTGGTTAATTATGTATATTTTAAATTACAGATTTTATGTGGTCAAGAAATACCTGGCTGGGTAAATCGTCTTGCATATTTTAGTTCTTGTGTACCATTCCTTCAACGCTGCCTACCAAAAGAATGGTTAACACCTGAAGCACTTCAGCATTCTTTAAGTCAAGTCAGCCATGAAAGTACACCTTCTGAAAGTACGTCTTCTGATACTTCCTTGTCACTTAGCTAATTTTGCGAAAGGGAGAATCTAAAATGCAGTAGGAGTTACACCTTTTAGAAAATTTATGCAACACACGAAGGAAGTTTATCATGACAGTAAATTTATCGCCAGGATCAAGGAATCCGAGAAACAAAACCGTCAAAACGAGGTACAAATTTGATATTGTACTCTGAATTCCGCTGGTGATTAGTAAATAGAGAAGGAATGCCTTTCTTGCAACATGTCGTCTCCTAAACTTTGGACGGCACTATACAACGTCGCGTGTGTTCTTTGTTGTATTATATGGTTGAGATTTAATAGATATACAATTGATAGGTAATTATGTATAAATCAAAACTGTAAAGAGACTGGGACTTATTTATTTATTGGTTGCTGATATTAATCAATTTTTTTTTTTTAAGAAATTTTCTGTAAAGTTTTATACGCGTAATGCTTTTTATTTCAAATTACAATTGAAATTTATAAATAATAATTATACACCGTTTATTTGTATCATTACTTTAGAAATATTCTGTGATGTATTTCTGAGTATTTAATATTATTGTTCTTTGATTACAACGGAATATTATACGTACATGCGACACCTCTTTGTACAGCTGCCATTAATATTGTTAGGAAATTTGAACGAGGAATGAATTTAATATTGACATTCATACGTAATAAATAATCGTTATATATAACTTATTTTTCATGTATGGTTTGATGAAAATATGTTCTGTCCAAATAGTTTTATAAAGAACATATTTATAATTTTGTAATTAAGATAGTCTAAATCAACGATCTTGCACTACATTAACTTTGCATGATACAATGTTAAATACAAGACATTATAATTTTTGAAGCTATTTTCCAGATTTAATCTAATCGATTCTTTCCAAATATTCATGGTATACAAAAGAATTACTGGCGTTGCTAAAAATTGTTATTAACATTGAATTTATAATGTTACGTGTTAAAGAAGGAATTAATAAAGCAATTTGAATATGATACAAATACCTAAAAGCAAATACTATTGGTTATTTTATATTTGTATAATATAATGCAAAAATGAAGCAACAGTTAGTGCCAATTTGATTTCTATTGATTCAGTCTTTAGGAATACTATTAGGAAGTCATGTTGCACACAATTCAGATTGATGTTACCAATCGTATATGCGTTACATTTAATGTTAACACGTACACATTCGTCATTGAATGAGTTGTAGTTAAATTTAGGATATACGATAATTACATCTAAAATATTTTGTCTTACATAAAAAAAATATTACCATTAAAAATGTTAAGTAGATTGTAAGTTGTAGAAAATTTTCTTTTAAGATCATCAAATTTATTTTCTTTTGTGCATACACAAAATTATGTTTGCAAAAAGGTATAAAGAATGATTAGTGTTTCATAGATCAAAGCATGTTTTATATTTCTCACTAACACTTATATTGATACAATGTTATAAAATGAATTACTTTTGCGGTATAGAATCCAATATAGCATAATAAAATAACGAAGTATACAAAGCACAATATACAATATAAGTACAAAAGCTTGTGTAACTACCGAAGTAATCCTTTTTATAATGGTATTTAATTTTTCATTTTCGCTAAGGTTTTTATCTTCTTCCTGTTTTATTTTAAACAATAAACGATCAATTAAGTATTCCCTGGTTTTATTGTAATCAGATCTAAAACTAAATATATTCTATACATATGAAATATTGTATCAGATATTCAATTTTGTTCATTTAAATTGTTTAACATAATTTATTCAAACTTTAATCATTAGTACAAAATACTTGTAATTAATAAGCATGTTATACTTACATATAAAATCAAGAAATGTACGTACAAGCCTTTCAATTTATTAATACACTTCCTTTACTCGAGAAAATAAATTATTTTTTTTAATAATTCAAGTGACAATGAATTTAAAAAAAAGCATACATTCTTCCTTCTTTCACGGACGTTTTTGCCAAACAAAGTATAAAACGAAGATTATAAATACTATAAAATGTACAGAAAAGATATTTACGAGGAAATCTTATAAACATAAAAATTTGGTTTTTCTTTCTCCATAATACCACGTGTTTTCTATAATTTACAACAAAAATACATTACGTTCGTTATTCAAAATACAAATAAGTTGCTTGCAGTTGCTTTTAATAAATATTGTAAATAATGCACATATTAGTTATATAAATAAGTTCATAATATAGAATACACTAAACTAAATTGCTAAAAAAGAAAGAGGATTAATAGTCAGGTCATTACATGCACTGGTATTGAACCAATGGGATACATAAATCATTATTAATCATTACAGAAAGTACTCTAACAATTCGTAAAAAAAGTAAACTATCGAATCGTACAATCTATATATATGCATACATATTTTTCTATTCTGGTGCAGAATGCCGGTCGTACATTTTGATTATATGTAAAATGAAAATATAATTATAGCGTAGTTTTTACATGTTATCAGAATACATATTTTATCTTTCACCGTCGTATGTGCACACCAAAAGAAAGGAAACAAAATGAATAAAGGAAAGAGATTTAAAGGGTCTAAAATCAAATCAAAACTGCGAGCTTATTTAGAAATTGAATTATTTACAGAATATAAAATCAATGCTATACAAAATGACTATTTCTTCGTATGTCTATCGATTTACAAGGTGTCTCAAAAATGATGTACTAACAATTGAAATTTGAATTTTGGCGCGCTTTAGTTTGCAAATTACGCAGTAAGAATTGGCGCGATCTTTTACGCGTACCGGTCCTATAATTGTTAGGACCAAAATTAAAAGTGAAAACACGTTAAAATATTTCGAATTATTGTGTCGGAACTCGGGTAAATTAATACATTTCGTGTACACTATTTTTGCAACACCCTGTAGAAATTCGATTCGATTACACTGCAACAGAAGACAAACAGATGTGCCTTTGATTTTAGAACCCTTAAGTAACAATGGCAAAAGATAAGACAAATGATTGAATTCCGTTGGTAAGTACAATAATACGTACATTATTATATAATTTATAAACATATCTTGATTACATGTCTAGAATAATTCTAGAACTCGTTTTTAAACTTTATTTTATTCCGGTACGGACACCAATACCTGTGCTAATACATTCTTCGTTCGATAACATTAACACTTTTCTTCTATTAACGGTTTCTTCTATATTTTTTTTTAATATAAGAATGTCAAACCTATTGTAGTCGATATATATTTTATTTATAATATATGTTCAGGTCGTTATTGTTACACAAATGTGATGGAGATATTTCAATTCTGAAATTTTTTGGTATTATACGCACGTTATAGTTGTATTATTAACCTTGATGTCTATCAACGATGATGTTTCAAAGAATTGGAATTTAGATCGTTTTTATGAAAATAAAAAAGAATTGTACGGAATGTAGCGTATAGATATTTCACCGTAACAATATTCCATAAACTTCTTGAGATTTTTTTAAACTTTTTTTCCTCCCGTTAAAATTCATTATAAATATATGAAAGTTTAAATGCAATATTATATTCAAAATGATTCTTTACATGCAGTTCGTTTTTCGTGTACAGAAAAGTTGGGTCGATATCGTAGTTATTGGCTTCTTGTTTTACCATATGACATATTTTAAGGTCTCGAAGATAAAGAAGATGTTCTCGATCTTCATAATTTTCTTGTTATAATTATCAAGCACCTCGGGATTCTTAACCGTTAAATGTTATTTTATACTTTAACTACTGGCATAGAATCCTGAGACAGTTATTTTGTTCTACCAACTCGTTTCTTTTTTGTTCTAGTATAATTAGCAAATTTATATAAATGTACATGGAAAATGTATATATTCTATACATTACAACATATAAAACTTGTTATCATGTTTCCATCTTTAGCGTAATTTCATTTGTTTCCTCCTAATCTTATATCTATAAAAAAGTGAATACAACCGATTAACTATTAGGTATGTCTTTTTCTGTAATTTCAAAACAACGTACGATTTCCTGCATTTGTTAATATAAAAGTATTAAAAACGTCATAGTATCGCACAACGTGTCTTGAAGCTGTTAGACAAATGTTAATACGAACTTAAAAATCATTTTTGAAAAAGAAGGAAAATAAAATTCATACTTTATAGCCTTTGTTCCGTTTTGGATATTATTCTCAGTCATTATGCATTGCACTTATAAATATATTCCGAAGGAATGTGCGGGTCATCCGGTACTTGGGATCAAGTTCGATAAGATCGAAGCGAGATCAGAAGAGGTTAGATAGCTGGTAACGTAAAAAGATTCTAAATTTGTAATATTAGGTAAAATTCAATGAACGATAATTCAAACGTAATCCAAAATCAAATTCAGGTACCGGAAAGTTTAAACATTTATATGGGAGAAGGTACTGTATTTATGAATTCAATTCTTATATCACCTAATCTGGATTACCCGCACATCCTTCATATTCGATCGTCAGGTTTTCAACATATACGCTCCTTTTAAAATGGATGTCACCTTAACGATAAAAAAAAAGCACGATTTTAGGATGAAAAAGTTTTTCGTTGCAGTAAGGATAAATCAATATTTAACATCGTTACTTTGTCATCGAAAATATAATACTTATACGTTGCATAAAAGTATATAAGCCACCTTGCTTAGTAACTACTTATTATCAGTGGGAGCTTCCAGTACATTGCACGATTATTCCTACTATTCACACGCTGAATAATATGATGCACCTTACTGCATTATGACGCAATAAAAAAATGTTTAGTCATAAGGCATCAGATCGATTCACTTCCTTCGAATTTGTTTGTCGTTAAGAATGATTAAGTATATATTTTACTTGAAACTATTCGTTTATACCTAGATTCAAAAGTAGGTACAATAGATTAATTAGGTTAATCTTCTTTTATTGCTAGATAATTTGACTGAGATTTCGATTTTGTTAACTTAAAAACGGTTAGTCGTCGTAATTAAAAATTAAAATTATGCAAGGTCTTATTAAAAACTCAGAAAAGAAAACGACACCTGCTTTCGATATTATATGGCATCGTTAAAGCTGACTCGATGATTTCCAAACACAAATTATTTACAATAATTTAACGTTACATTAACTATAAATTGCCTTGTTAGTTATATAACTTATTATGTATAAATCCTTTAAAACCAGAAAGTTATTACAATGTGGTGTTAACATTGATCTTAACGCATTTATTAGATCTTTGTATCGAACTAACTATTTGTGTGCAACTTCTCAATTCAATTGCATATACAAATATTATGCTTGTTGTTATGTTTTTAATATGGTTAACATAATGCACAATATCAGGAAAATATATTGCACAAAACAGAAAAAAGGACAAACGGAAGAAATTGATAACTTTCCAGTTGAAAAATCAAACACAAGTATTGTTGTGTGTAAAGACAATATCATAGATACTGTAACCCTACTAATTAGGTAGTGCACATAATTACAGTAACTTACTAATATTATGAGAAGCGTTAAATAAATTCTTATGAGTCATACGAAGATGAACCATGATCGTGAGCGGGACTTGGTGGCGTCGATGGATTTGAACTGTTGTTTGAAGCTATTGAATGTCTAGGACTTCCACCAGAAGTATGTTCCTACGTAAACGAAGTTTCATACATTCATCACGAGGATATTTTTTATAATTTCTAATAATAACCTTGAAGGTCGCACACAATTTTCTGAGTTAATGTAATGAAGATAAGAAATAAATACCTTGTCATGTAAAGATGCAATGCTACCAAGAGAAAGTGGAGTATGCGATCGTAGATGCACAGACTCCGAATCAACTTGGTCCACAGGAGTACGTGGTAACGAAGGCGGAGTAGCAGTTGGTCGTTGGGGTGCCGGTCCTCTGCGTGATGATGTCGAACCTAAATGTAATGGCGTGTAATGGTTGAACCTTGAAGACCTTATATAAGTAGAATAAAATAATGATAAGTTATTAAACCTATACCATTATGCGGCGAGTATCCTGAATTTCTAGATATATGAGAACTAAGACGTCGTGTATCAGAAGGAGGATGCCTTGGCGGCAGTGGTGCTGGTTTACTTGGCGCTTGGAGTGCTGGACCATATAACTAAATATGCAATTAAATAAATATTAATAAAAATATTATACAGAACTTATATACAAAGATGTATTGAATGTTTACTCTTTGCTGACTGCTATGAAGGTGAGAACTACTGTGATGACCACTATGTTGTTGATCAGCGGTTTCAAGAGTGGTAGGCAAATCTAGCAGCCGTTGAATCTACGTCAAAAAGTATCAAATTCTGAGTCTCAAAAAAACATACATTAGTGAAAGTGCAGTAGACTAAATAACTTACCTGTATTCCATTACCTGGACCCATGTGACTGATATGGTTGAAATTCGTGGGAGCAGATATCATTTTTGAACGTCTGTCGGTAGGACGAACAGCTCTATTTCCTTCCCGTAATGAAAATCTTCTCCGTGGTCTAGTCATTTGTCTACCGCTAGCATCTAATGGTGTTAAATTGAGTAGTTCTCCTATGATAATTAAACAAAATACATATGACACGTGATAACTTTCAATTGATCAACTAATATATCCATAAAATATACTAACGTTGATGTAAATTGCTCAGAAAAATAACATGTGGCATGTCATTGATAATACAAGATGTTAGAGAGCCTGAAGTATTCAATGGTCTTGCTCGTTTAACATTAAGCGTTTGTAACCAATCTCCAGTTGTACAATCAAACACGTCAATGTGAGTTTCACTATAAACTAGCAAGTATCCCTCACAATAACCTGAAAATCAATTCATATTAAATCACATTTCAATCTCAATAATATTTCAACGTCAAAAAAGTATACTTACTAACTGCTGTAGGAACAGCAGGATACATAATTTCTCGATCTCTGCTTTTCCTGCCTTGGCTATCGACATAAACTGCCAATGTATGGAAGACTAATAAGAATTCACCACGAGGTAATTCGATACAACGTAAAGCATCCACAGGGCTGTACGTGAGAAAGCCTAAGAGCGTATTCTCAGAATGGACCAATGCTACATTGCATAAGACAAAAGTTAATACATTGTTTCCGTATGAAAATTAATTATTTATATGATAATCTATATACACACGAATAGGGTGATGGTCTCCTAAAATGCTGTAGATAGAAAAGCCAGAAGGATAACCGACACAGAATCGACCCTCAGAGAGAATTTGCAAAGTTTGTGCGTGACATGATAACATCAATTCACGTATACGTTTGTGACGTGTTTTGGTACGCGTAATTTCATAGATGATCACTTGTGATGTATTCTACGTTCAAAAAATATGATATTAAAAACAGAAGCTAACAATTGCATTAATTTAAAAAGAGAAATACTGTACCTGTTTTTTGATGGCAACACACAAACAATAAGTTAATGGACTACGGCGTACTACTCCTGTCGTTAAAGTAATGCATCCTTTAGTCTCTGCAACTTTAATCCATTCAACTTCGTCCCCATCTAATGCACGTACTGGAACCAGCCGTACATGACGTTGTTTTCCACTTAAAACTACAATTAATTGTTCTTCTGTTACATATTCCAATAAGTATATCTTCTTTCCTTCTCCGACTCTTGCAATCTCTGAAAGTATAATATAAACGAATTGCGATAACATGGAATTCTTCTTAGCACAGGGACCTACAAACTCTAGCGGCAGCTCTAATTTTTACTATTCACCGAATAGTATATAACGTAACGTACCACTACGATCTAAATCTAAACAGAAGAGGCCTTCTTCTGTACCAATGACTAGACGATCTGGATCAATAATTGCTCCTGACATCACATTTTTAATAAGCGCCAATGTATTATCTAATAATTCTTTCGCTCTAAAAATCTGCATTAAAAAAATTAACAATATAATAAATTTTGTAATATTTTCTTACAACGTGCCTTATAGTAAATCATGCAACTTACCGTTGTATTAGGAAGATTATTTTTCTTTAGTATTCTATGCAGTTCACTCAAAGCAACTACCCATTTTGCTTTCTCACTTTCAGTGTCTGCAAGCATCAACGTGTGATTCCTTAAACCAGGCGGTTCTAGCAAAGACGTTGTTATCTAAATAAAATTAGGAAAAATATAAATGATCAAGTAATGCTTGATGAAATTACAATGGTGATCAAAATTCTAATTACCCTAAATATGCACGGAATGTCTTTTTTCGTGGCATGTATGACATCCGAATCTCGAACAGAACTAACGCTAAATTCTTCATCTCGCATGTCTAAGACTTGAGACACATACACAGAGGGTAATGCATTACGATCTGGCGAAATGTCGTAAAGAAATAACTTGAAGTCGCAGACAACCACAAATTGACGGACCCAACCCTTTTTTACTCCTCCCATTTTTGGCACTTTGACATACCCTTCGTAAGCTGTACCTATTCCTCTTGTTGGATCAATACCCAAAGGTCGTTTTGCTGTAAAAATGGTTTACCATTAAATTACAGTAATTAGTGAAATAGTAATAGTAACCGAGATATGATTTACTTTGATCATGTGGTACAGGACACATTGGTGGAACCTTATCACAGCAAGGCATATGACATGCGAAACCGCAAACTTCGCACACTACTCCTTGCCTTGTTAAACCCACCATCAATGAAGTGCAATGATTGCACTTTGTTGGAGCTGAAAATGTTCTTACTAAAAACTGGTGAGATTTTGGTTTTGGTTGAAGAGTGGGCTGTCCATGTGATGTAGATGACTTATTCAAAAGTTCATGGGATAACGGTGACGTTGGATCCTATGTTTGCATAAAGATGAAATTGTTATGAACTTTAGCAGTGTATGAAAATGAACTTTATGAAATGATCCTTACAATGCTCAGTTCAGATAAATTGCTTTTACTGCTAGAAATACTTGGTGCTCTGTTATCTTCAATATCGGCTTCAACGCTATCTGCGCTTCCGTGACGGGTGCTGCTTGCAGTTTCTTTCAAAAAATGTTCCAAATATGACATTTGAGATGTAGGACGTTCTAGAACTGAAATATAGAAAGGAATGATTAGAAAACCAATGTAATGTAATAGTTTGTTTAAATGTACATTGTAATTATTTTTGGCGCTGTTAAATTAATAAAAAGAAGAGATATTCATGATACTTTATCCATAATCTATTGAGATACAAAGTGAAAATAAGAAAATGAAAAATTATGCTTTTCTTCTATGAATGTATAAATCATATAAGAATTTCATAACATTCTTTCTTAAATATTTTTTAATGTAATCACTCCACTGCAATTTGCACCACACAAACTCTGTTAAGGTAGTAATCGTTATTGTGAAAATAAGGGCTGATACTCGGTCGTTCACCAGCAAAATAGCAAGCATACCAAACAACTCTAAAGGCGAAAACATTCAGACACAACATACCTGTTAATCATGTAATTACAAAAGTAATTATCAGCTACTAATTGTAAGATTAACAAACAACAACCATCACCTAAAAACGATGAAGTACTACTAACACTAGCCTTACTTGGGGAATTATTTTTTAACATACAAAGAAACACATAATTGATTCTCATGGTAATTTACATTAAAGTTAGCACAGAGCTATGTTTTTACTTAAGTTCATCATGAAGATAAAGGTAATACTTTTATATTATTTACATACCAGTAAATGGCAATTCAAATTTACAAATGATAAAAATTATAAATTCTCAGTCAGAAATTTTCAAATCTGTAAACTTGCAAGTACTGCATAAAAGAACCTCCCTTTTTGTCTCTACCCATAATAATATAACATGAGTCAACTGTGCTCATTGGTATCCTCATCACGTCGCATATCTGCACATCGCGTTCTCACGAGCACAGTTGCCCATAACTATATGCAATATTGTTGTCTGCTTACGTAGCATTAATTAAAAAAACATAGCGCTATGCCGTATAATTAGCAACCCAGCTGACTAGTCAAATCAAAATCGCGTTTTTTTGCTGCCACTTCATTTACCGGGTGGCGATACGATGGCGACGGCATTCTGACTGATGAATGTGTTGACGGGAACAAATCTAGTTAATAAGCGACATGTCGTGACGCGGGGAGCACGCATTACTGGTAGGGGTGACGACGGCTGATGTACGATGATGCGTTGGGGTTTGGTGCTAACGATGTTTGGAGATTTGCTTGACGTTTTGCTGGATAGGACAGCTGTCACAAATACAGTTTGAAGATGAGCAACAAGAGGCCCCAGACACAGCTCGTTACGCCAATAAACAGAGGCACTTTGTAGTCTAGAAATCAGAATCGCATACCGTACCGGACAACCGAATTACTATGCTGGATATATATCCAAATAGCAACGATCTCTATTATTGGTAACAGTAGTTATAGATATCTTACGTTGTACAAAGTTGTTTCTATTTCAAACAATCGATTACAATAATTTAATTCGAGATTGTTACATAAATAAAATATTTTTTATGTCGTGTTAAATTTTGAGACTTATCTCAGACGTTACATTTCTTATTTAAGTGCCTTATGTTTCATCCAAATAACGATTGAGTTATAATATACGTAAAAACAGCTTAAATAAATATAGATATATATATTGCACGTAATGAGTGTGATACTTTTTAAGATACATCAATTCTCTTTGTATAATATTACTAAAGAAACTTATATGCTTAATTATGTATTATGTGTTGCATTTGTATATTGTAACATTATAGTGCAACGAATCTATTTGGTTTTGCAAAAAGAAGTCGAATAATAAAAAAAACATTAACCACACACTGACTCATACCAGTTTAAAATAAATTCATTAGTTGAAAACCAGTGTCTACTTGCATAGTTTGCAATTGGCAAAACTAGATAATCATCGTACTTCATAAAAGCACTACGTTTTTTTTAATTAAAATTAAAGGAATTGTTAAACTATAGTTATCACTATGATTATCATTTCAGCAATAATACAAAAAAACTAACATAATACATAACTATCAATATTTGCATAAATATGCATATATAAAGAATCATATGTATTATTCATGCAACTTGTTGGAAGTAAACTTTCATTATTGAATTACAGAAGTAATGGAATATTTAGACAATATGAGATAATGCATAACCAGTACCTTCATAATATCATGTTTAAATAAGTACGAAGACATATGATTCCTGATACAGACTTCACACGTTCTTCAGTCTATTGATTTTTTTACTATAACATGCAAATTTGTTTATCGAGAAAATCATAGCATAACATATCTACGTATAAATTTAAATATATAAACATTTCTTGCAATAACATTTAAACGTTTGTTAAATATTTCAAATATAATTATAAAAATAATTGCCACAAAAAAAAGAACTTACATTTATAAAGAACATTATTATTGCAAAAAGACTAGATAAGTTCATCGCTTAAACATTGCGCAAGATAGATCAAAACGTTTATAAATTACATACATAGTATATACCGCAGCAGTTTGTATAATAATGGTTGATACAAAATTTTTCGAAAAACGCAATAGTATAACTTTTATGGAACTTTTGTTTCTAACATTGTCAATTGAAATGTACTTACAGCCATCGCCTGTGTCAAGCCTTGCTTGCAACTCTTTTATTTGCAGTTCTTTGCGTTTTATCTCGTGCGTAAGTGCATCGAACCGCTGTCTAAAGTCTCTTAATTCCCTGTAAACACATGAGAATTCTCCATTATTAAGCACTCTTAAACGAAAATATTGTTACTCGCAGAATACAAATTTTATGCATATTCTATATTTATAATAATTACTTTTGAGCAGCTATCAGATCTGAACGCGTCTTCGTAAGTTCTTCAGATATCGCTTGCTTAGCTTGAATTTCACTTTGCAAAGAACTTTGTAAATTCAGAAGCTCCATTTTATCAAGTTTCTGTGATCTGCGATTCCTCCAGTTCTTATCCGCCATTGTAGAACCACTTCCTACACCTCCTACACCTCCAGAGTGCTTTAAAAACTCTAATTCTTCAGTCATTTTCGTGGCTAATGCCTAAAATATATTATTCGATCAAGTTAATTCGATTTTGTCGACGTCGCAAAAATTTAATAACGATAAGAATGATAAGACAAACCTGCAAATACCCTCTTGCATCTTTCTCATCAGATACCCATTGAATAATTTCTGTGATCTGCGCTTCCCACTGTGCAATAGCTTCCTTCTTGTTTCTCAACTCTTCGTATTCTTCTTCTAATTGACGTCTCTCCCCTTGTATTCGGTTAACACTATCGGTAAGAGTACTAAGTTCTAACATAAGTTTTTTATTCTCTTCGACTAGCATAATTTTTTCCCTCTCGTGACGTCTACTTAATTCGTTGATAGTCTCTTCGCTATCGGTAATATTTTCCAATCTCGCAGCATCTAGTTTTTCCTTCGTTAATTGAACTTCTCTTTCTAACAAATCTCGTCTCGTTTCGGTTTCGTGCAGTTGTTCCTGAAGGCTACGAATTTCGAGGTTGAACCTACTTTGTTGCTGATTCAAATTTTCATTGTATTGAACTTCGAGCTTTTCTACTTCCGCTTTTAATCTGTTAATTTCTTGCGTTGCTAACGCATGATTTGCGCTTGCATCATTTCCCATAGATCTCTGTCTAATCTTTTCCGTTTCCTCTTGCATTTGTTTGCAATATTCTTCACTACGCTCTCGTAATTTTCTTTCTTTACTTGTTTCAGCCATTGCTTCCTCTACTCTGTTCTCGAGTTCCCTACGTAATTTCTCGGCTTTCCGAATATCATGCCGCAAACTATCAACCTTCTGCATTACAACCTCTAATTCTTCTTCTTTATCTCTAACTTGTCTAGACAATTTTTGTTTTTGTTGTCTCAATTCTGACAATTTATCCGTAACTTCAGTATATTCTGCCATCGCAAGTTTACGCTGAGTCAAAGCATCTTTCAGTTCCTTGTCTTGAAGTTTAAGTTTTTCTTGTGCATCTAACTTATCTTTAACAGCTTCTTCCTTTTCTGCTCGAAGCAATCGTACTAGTTTTTCTAATTCCCGTAATTTGGTCATATCACCATTATCTAAGCTGCGTAATTCACGTGGAACTTCCATAGACTTTAATTGTGATTCTAGCTCACAATTACGTTTGGTAAGTGTATTTATTTCATCTTGAAGTTTCCTCGTTGCGTTATTAGAATCTGGTGATATTCCAGGAGGAGAATGACTCATGCTAATTTGTTTTTTTAACTCCTCCAAAGTTTGCGTTAATTGTGCATTTTCTTTCTCGAGCAACTGCACACGCTTATCCTTCTGAGCAACGGCGGATAAACAACCCAGATCCGATATGCAACTGCCTTGAGTAAAACTAAAACCAACGAACGGTAAGTGAAGTGCAGAAAACGCGGAATTTGCTGCTGGTGGAACAGCATCAGAATTGCGAACATCTGTATCGTCAACGTCAAAGTTTGACGTATCAGTTGGCGAGGAAACTTCAGGAATGTAAGGTGCAGTACTGTCTCTAAGAGTTTCCCAGTTTACTCCTTCAAACCATGGGTGTTTCTTAAAATCATCAATTCCATTTTGACCTAATCTAAATTCTGAGCTACATATTAATTTTCTCATTAAATCCTTAGCTTCTTCAGAAACATCATACATATCATCTGTTGGGAAGTCAAAGCAATTCTGAAATTGAACAAATTGAACACATTCATTAGTATATATAAAATATGTATATGTATATCCTCCCAAGTGATTTAAATAATTTCATTACCTTGTGGTTCATAATTTTCCCGTAAGTTTCGAGTAAAGATTCTGCGTAAAAAGGTGTTTCTCCATACAACATTTCATACATACATACTCCTAAAGACCACCAATCACATTCAGGCCCATACAGTCCTTGTCCATCTTCCATTGCCTACAAAATATAATAGGCTAATGTTATAATTGCTCATGTAGATGAACCAATTAAAATGTATAACTGAAGAAAGTAATTTTACCCTTAATATTTCTGGTGAAATATAGTCTGGTGTACCAACAGCAACATTACTTTGTACAGTTCCATCTTCAAACAATCGTAAACAAGATCCAAAATCTGCTAATCTAATGTGACCATTTGCATCTAATAAAACATTATCAGGTTTAATATCGCGGTGTACATAATGTAAGTCATGTATGGACACAATAGCCAGAACCATTTCAGCTATATAAAAACGAGCCATGTCTTCAGGAAGGCGATCTTCAAATTTGCTCAATAGTGTTAACAAGTCTCCACCACAGTAATAATCCATGACCAAATACTGTATAATAATTGAAAAAGAAATAAAATTATTCTATTCGTGTAAATGATAATAACTTTAATTAAATGTGTATAAATATTACCAAATTATTGTCATCTTGAAAGGCATAATGAAGATTTGTGATCCATCTTCGATCACCGTACACCAGTACATCTCGTTCCTCTCTAAAGCATGCAGTTTCTGCACGCTTTAGCATCTCCCACTTGTTCAAAATTTTCATTGCAAATACTTTGTCCGAACCTCGCATTCTTACAACACATACTTCCCCAAATGCACCTCTGCCAATAACTTTTACTATCTCAAAATCTTCACGTGCCAATTGCAAACTCTTTATGCAAGTTGCCACAGGTTTTACTATAATACAATAATTATTACAGGTAATAGATAATCTTAATGAGAAATCATTAAATCTCAGAAACATTAAAAGTAATCATATAATATTTGTACATGAAGTACATGACATATAATGCATACCAAATTCAATGAAATCTGAAACAGTCTTCTCACGCCGTAAGGAAGAATTGCAACATTCATCGTACAAGACAAGTAAAATGTCAATAAGTGTCTCGATAGAAAATGTATGGCCCACTCTTCCTTCTCCTTGTGCAGGACCATCGATGAAAAGAGATTCTAACTGGCGTAACCTGCCTCCTATGCCTATTAATAATTATTTATAAATAATATTTATTTTTATTAATAATTTTTAATGTCATGGATATATTTTAAAGAAGAATATTTGTATATAATCAGTAATATACCATTGATTGCAAGTCCTTTTGGCATAATATCAGGAGGAGGTTGATTGTATTGGTGCTGCGATGAATCTGACATGTCTCTTTTTTGATAAGGCTGTCCCTTACCAAACTCTTTGGATACTACTTCTGTTATCCTTAATATTATTCAATAATATCTCAAACCACCACATTATGATGTGATGAGAATCCTAAAATATTTTATATTATTACAACATTTTTTTTTATGTACATGTTATTAATGACATATCTGCAATAATGACATAATTAAAAAATTATAAATTTAAATGTTTAAAACATTACAAAATTTATTGTTTTTGTATACTGGTTTTTAAAAACTCACTTTCAGGTCTATGCTGGCATTAAGTATAACCAAGAATCATTCTTCTTATACTAATAATTTAATAACTGTACAATTTTCAATGATGTCATTGTTGCATTAAATCACAATTCTATAATTACAACTTATTTTCTATGATGTTCAATTAAATCTTTATGCAATAGTACTGTATAACTATCCTATCTATTTACTCATATGCTCCTTTTTTCAACTAAATATATTCACAAAAGAAATTAATATTTAATTGAACATATATTTAACTCTACCTAAAATTAATATGAACTATATGTTAATTATAACTAACTATTCTAAAACTATATATCCTTTTACTATATCTCTTTGGAAAATATTTGAAAAGTATGAAAGAATGTAACAAATAAAGAGCAACATTTATAATTTACCTTAAGAAGATAATTTCCAATAGACATATCTAAATTGAATCACTTTCACTGTTTAAACATTAATATTGTTTACAACCGTGCAGCAGTCGTTTGCCAAGCATGTCATTAACAAATTACCAGCACGTTTTTAAACGATATTTTTTTACCCTTACGCGAAGAATGTCAAAAATCAATTCCCTTTAACTTTGCGTGGTATATATGGTCTGCACGCCACTAGGTGTAAAACAATCGAGTTTCATTTAATTCATCATCGGCCATGGTGCCGGAATTACACACGTCGGAAATTACGTAACTGCTATAAAGATAGCCAAAATATTTGGCGAAGAAAACACGCAACAAGAGAAATACGTGTAAATAAAACGTACAGACAAAAATAGTGCAATGGGGTAGGGCACCGCATTCGCGATCAACGAATTCAACAAAATCACCAAGACAACTCCTATCGTAGACGATATCGGTATCGCATAGGAAAAACTATACAGTACTCGTTTAACGTAATAATCGTGAGACAGAAGTTAGGTAAACGTTAAAGCCCATTGTCCCAATTTTATGGTATAACCTCGTTGCGGCACTACACTCTCATTCCGATCAAATTTGTGACGTAAAATTCCTATCACATGCAAGAAGGATGTTTTGAGTGAAAGGCTTTTTCTTTGCCGATCCGGATCGTTTGTTCGAACGATTCAGGCATATCTGCCAAAACGACGCGCCCCGCTCTTGTATCGGTTTAATTGTTTATTATGCGCACCATTTGATTATCACAAAACATCTTGCATGGCCACCTCCAAACCCCCAACAATTTGGTTGACCCCCTGGCAGGCCCCATATAGAAAAAATATGGCAGTCCTACGTCATTGAAAGTACCCATGATAGTTTAGCATATAGATAGGTTCTAACTATGATATCAAACGTGAAAATAACAAAGTGAGTTCACAATAGCAGTCCTGTCATTCATTTCTAAGTTTCCACCGAGGGTTCAAATCGGGTTAGAGTCGGGTTGAGGTGAGCGCCCTTACGGTGGAAACACCAAAGTTTTAGTTGAACTCTACCCTATAAAATTGTAGGGTAGCGTTCACTTGAGGTTCAGTGGAAACGACAAAAGTCGAGTTCATGTTGCCAATATAGCAAATCCTAATTGCATTGTGTATCACGTGTTGTATTAATTGGTGTAGACAAGGTTATTATTACTTTCTGTCGGTGATCTTGTAATCTGAGAAATAATTTTTGTATGTTATTTTGATATTGTAAAATTAATATTGCTCTCCTTTACATGTCAGAATATGGTAGTTGACTTTGTGCAGTTGGTAATGTTCAACCCTGCCGCAACTCCAACCCGCGACTCAAACCCGACTCTAACCCGATTTGAACCCTCGGTGGAAACTTAGTCAATGGCGGGGACAAGAGAAAACGTCATTTTGACAGAATGGCAGAAAGTCTAATAGGTCTAGAAAGTCAGTTACAATTTTTGTTAAGTATGTATTACTGTTTAGCTTACAAAAATGGAAGGTTGTGTATTCATTGAATCACAGGAAAACAGGAAACGAAGAACGATGTCATAAACAGTTTCCTTTTATGCGATTAGAAAAAAATATTGGACTTTTTGATTGAAGAAAGTATATTATAAAATTTCGATTTGTCGTCAAGGTGAACGATTGTGAAAATCGAACGTGTGGTGTTTGCAAATGCATCATTAGTTTTACATAAGGTTCCTGACCGTAATACGGTACAGATGTGATGGAGGATTACAAATTTCTCTTCAAAGTTGTGCTCGTTGGAAATGCAGGCGTCGGCAAGACTTGCCTCGTGCGCAGATTTACCCAGGTGTATATATGTATACATACATGTATAATATTAATTAGTTCATAGCGTTTATTATTGTAAATGTGCATTAAATTTTTTGTAATAACAAAAGTTTATCATCTTGTACAGAATCTTTTATACTGTAATATCATTCTTGGTAATTAAAAACAGATTTTATATTTCAGCTACACATTATTAATCAGCAACTAATTTATTTATAGGGATTATTTCCACCTGGTCAGGGTGCAACAATTGGTGTTGATTTTATGATTAAAACTGTAGAAGTAGAAAATGAGAAAGTTAAGGTATGCGTATGATGTAATGCATTATGATTCATCCAATGTATACGCAGATACTTTTTTAGAGTAATTGTATATATAATCAGTATTGGTTTTTTTGTAGCTTCAAATTTGGGATACTGCTGGACAAGAAAGGTTTCGTTCAATAACACAAAGTTATTATAGGTCAGCTCATGCTTTAATTTTAGTTTATGATATTTCTTGTCAACCTACATTTGATTGTTTACCAGATTGGTTACGAGAAATTGAAGAATATGCAAGTAATAAAGTTCTTAGGATATTAGTAGGTAAGTCTTATAATATATTATTATTAATGATAAATAAATATTAATATTCAATTAATTTATTAGGTAATAAAATAGATCGGGAAGACAGAGAAATACCAACACATGTAGGAGAAGATTTTGCACAAAGACATGGAATGTACTTTTTGGAAACTTCTGCCAAAGAAGCTGAAAACGTAGAACGTTTATTCATGGAAATAGCAGCTGAGCTCATGGAGGTAATTATTGTATTACTTTGTTTGAAACTATTTAAATAGTTTGCTAAATCTAAAATAATTTATTATTTTAGCAAGCACGTAGTAAAGAACTACCTAGATATGAAACAAATACCACCTCAATAAATGGAAAAACAACATCAATTGGTGATACAAGTAATTGTGGTTGTAGTAGACTTTCTTAAGTAGTTTTTATATGTATTATTAAGTCATTCACCAAACATAATTTCAGTTGCTAAATATGTATGTAGAATATTATCATACAGTTTTTATAGAATATGGAAGTTAAATACAATATTAGTCAATCTTCTATAACAAAAAGAATCTAATACTAGAACATCTTTGATATTATATGTTAGTATCTAGTGTTATATCATGCAGATTATATTGACAATTCTGTTGGAGAAGATATTAAATGCTTAAAATTAAAATGAACTTTAAATATGTTGGTAGGTATTTGTTTATGAATACGTTTTTACGAGAGAAAAGAATTTTTCTGTCATGGTTTTATATAATTGCATTATTCAAATAACATAAGTTAGTAACCTGTATTTGGGCATTTAATACTGCTTTCACAAGCAGAAGTTTGGAATATTTTTTATAGTATTTTTTGTTATGTCGGAAAGTACAAATAGATATTTCGTATTTGGTGACTGAATATAAAGTCATTATGGATATAAGATTTTTACTAAAAAGTGTAAGCCTAATGTTGTTCAGGATTTTTTCAGCAATTTTATTACATTGCTACTAAACACAACTGACTTTTGATATAAAAAAATAGGCAATTCTATGTGTTAATGGTGTATGTAGAAATTAATGAAAATGATTACAGCTTACTTTTTATTTAGATTATTGTTTATTGTAATAAGCGAGTAAGATTTTTGAAATCTTACCAATTGCATTTACATAGCCAAAGTTTTGTTGTACTCTTAAGATTTTATCTGAGTTTTAAGAAAGGGATAATTAATGTTTTTCCGTCTGTGTATTGTTTAATGTTATATTTTATAGATCTTTTATTATTTATATTTATAAAAAAAAAGATATATTTATTATTCGCATTATTGTACTAATAACGTAATTTTCTTAGCACATCACTCTAGTCTTTATAACTTTTTATACTAAGTACAGAAAATTAATCATAAGTTATACATGTTTCATATTATTTTGCAATTGTGTTATCACGCAATGAGCATCTTCTATTTTTACATATATTTTTCTACGAAAATAATTACATGCACGTTTTATAATTATTTTCATTAATTTTATCTCATCTAACGATTTCAATAATGAAATAAAATTATATGTAAATGTTCTTTTTAACTACCGTGTTTGTTAGTACTTTATAGCTTAAACTTAATTTTTATTACGAGATTTTTATGCAATTTTTAACAAGAACTAAAAAATTATATCGTATTTCTCTTACTTTAAATACATAATGACATCATATATTGTATTACATAATAGTGATTGTGATTCTTGTATAATTATAATGTTCTAACAAAAAACGGAGCTTCAAGTTGCCGTCACTGTGCAATATTTTATTGTTCATAATGTATACGTTTTAAACAATATACAACACGAACAAAAAATTTGTAATAAAATTACACTGATAAAACATATCAGTTTGTGTATAGATAAAAGGATAACTATAAAATGCAGTACCTTTAATTTTGTCAATTTATCTCGATAATGTATATTATAAAAGGTATTAAATCTATATATTGTCTAATTTAACATTTTAAACAATAGAGTTAATATCGTGAAATTAAAAAGTTATAAACGTATGTTAACGTAAATGATGCACGCTCTTATTTCGGTTCAAAATATTTATTGCCATTTCCTATCACATTTCCGCTATATTCCTAATATATGCATCATATAAAGTTACTCACTAACTATAGAAAAATGTTTTAAGAAACGCGCTTTACATTTTTTTACACTTTTCTATTAAGTACACGAGTTTGGTGCAATGTTTTCGGGATTTAAATAAATTTATAAGTAAAATATAATATATTATCAAAATTATATATATTTGTTTTTATGTTAATCTTTACAAAAAAGTATTAATATACAATTTGTTAATAATTGATTTAATAAAATATCACTTTATGATACATACTGGAAAAAATCACCTAATTGTACTTGTTGAAGAGACAGCTCAAATAACTGTTTTTGAATATGTAAATTTGATACATCTGAATGAGGAGGACTAGACCGACAATTACCAATGTATATACCTCCATAATTTTCCACCTCTTTATTTACGGCTGCGTAAACAATCGAAGTGGCACCTTGTCTAGGAGACTAAGAACGATATTTATTATTATTGGAATTGTTTAATAATCGTTTACAAATATTTGTAGTATTTCACTTACCTTCATAAACAATCGTATAACTAATTTCACCTTCCAAAGTAAATTATTTTCAAAAATTTCTGTATATACTATACCAGGATGTGCTGAATAAGTTTGTACACAATATTCTTTTTCTTTTAAAAGCGCTGCCAATCTCTTATTAAATATCGCTTGTGCCAGTTTGCTTTGTGCATATGCTTTATAAGCAATGTACCTATTCCTATTTAAATACTAAACTTATACGAGTTTATATGTATACATATATAGAAAGTATAATATGTTACAATGATACCACACCTAAAATTAATATCACTGAAGTTAATTTTGCCCAAAAGATGAGCACAAGATGTAACATTAACAATTCTGCTACACTGTTGGGTATTTCCACCAGCTTTTAACAGTGGTAACAAAAGAGCAGTTAACAAAAAGTGAGATAAATAATTCACAGCCCAGTGATGTTCAAATCCATCTACTGTTTCCTCATATGGACACAACATGATACCAGCTAAAAATAATAAATTGAGATCAGTTACACTTTTAAGTGTATTCACTTAACAAGATATAAAATTATGTACATCAAACCATGTTTTACCATTATTAATTAAAACATGAATTTGTTTATAATCTTTTTTTATTTCTGCAGCAAACTGTTTCACCGAATTTAAAGATGCATTATCAAGTTTATATACTTTTGCTTTTCCACTGTTAACACCAGAATCTCTGATCTGAAGAATAGTTTTTTCACCAGCTGCAGGTGTTCTGCAAGCTGAAAAACATATTTTAAAAATTCTAACAAAACATTAGGAAATTTAAGATTTATAAATACGTGTATTTTAAACGCACCAATTATTACTTCCATGTCAAGTTCTAAAAGCATTTTTACTATTTCAACACCAATTCCTCGAGAACCACCTGTTACAATTGCTATTCTTCCTGGTTGAGATAAGCAGTCTTAAAAAGAAAGAAACTAAAATTTTTGTTACACTCTTTGTGTGGGCACTCACATTTTTTCTTCTTTCCTCATAATACTTTATTTTTGTTTTACACGCTTACCATTTTTATTACATTTTGCAAATATTAGATCCTTGATTGCTTCCTTCATACCGAATAAATTATACAGTATTTCATTTACAAGATTTTCGAATGCAATAGACAAATTTTTTCGGAAGATGCAAGACATGAATGCAATCGCAATTATCGCAAAGATTAAACCAAGAAACAACATTTTTATAAATATAATTTTTTTATTTTAAATGGTATTAACTATTATAGGTCACTGAATAAATTGATAATTATGTTGAAACAGCAACCATTAATGAGAAACTGAGTCAAGGTATCGCGTTTTCTCGTGTATTTATTTGTGTATACAGTAAATTAGTTTTTTATGCTCTTTGCACTGGAAAAATTGTGAAAAACATCGCGTCACAAGGACGGCTCTATGATTGAAATACATTACATAGTCAACTATTAACACTTCATAGCAGATTAATGTATGCTTGTTAGAATCTCTGTGTCTTTCTTAAAGCATATTAATTTTTACGTTTTACACCATGATGACTAGATCAAGAGTAACTTTCACCAAGTAACAGATATTTCTAATAACATCGAAAATTGTTGCGAATACAGTAATATACGGCCTCTGTTACTGACATTCGCATTATATGATTGTCATGCCGGTCATCATAGTGGTAAACTCGAAATATTTAGAAATACATAATACACAAATATTCGTAAATTGATGATATATTGTCATAAATAAAAATAAATTACAATAACTTATGTATGCAGTAAATAAACACAACCAATTATATTTGGGTTAATATTTATGTTAAAGATAATGTACTTATAGATTATATCAATAAAAAACATATTCTAAATACGCATACTAAACCCGTCGATGTCAACAATGTCGTTTAAATGTAAAATATTTTTCTTGTGAACATTCTTTTTATGTACAGTTCAATTTGTACAAAAATAGTATCGTTGTACGACAAGTTTTTTATTGCATTTTAAGTACAGTTGTAAAGTTATCATCCTTTTTTTTAGAAGTATAATTATTGTGCCGACGTTTTCAAAGTATGAACTTATGAATGTGCCGGAAACTTTCAAGCGAGGTTTTGATACTTTGATAGACCTCGGAATCTCGAAGGCAATGACTTAACAAGATATTGTTTTACTACACATATTGGAAAAAATCACCTAACTGTACTTGCTGAAGAGACAACTCAAACAATTGCTTTTGAATGTTTAAATTTGTAGCATCTGGATGAGTAGGACTAGAAAGGCAATTGTTAATGTATATACCTCCACAATTTTCCACCGCTTTGTTTACGGCTGCATAAACAATCGAAATGGCTCCTTCTCTGGGAGTCTAAGAAAGATATTTATTATTAACGTAACTGTTTAATAATCGTTTACAAATAATTAAGTAATACTTTACTCACCTTAATAAAACGTGCAAAAAGTGATCTTATTTTCCATACAAAAGAATTTATAAAAAGTTCCGTATTTACTACACCAGGATGTACAGAATAAGTTTGTATATAATATTGTCTTTCTTCTAAAAGATCTTGTAATCTTTTGGTAAATATTTCTTGTGCCAATTTACTCTGGGCATAAGCATGTAGAGTAACAAATCTATTTCTGTTTTAATAACAAATATGTAATACATGGTTACGTATATACATACATATAAACTACAATAATGATACAATACCTGGAATTAATATCACTGAAGTTAATTTTGCCCAAAAGCTGAGCACAAGAAGTAACATTAACAACCCTGCTACACTGTTGGGGATTTCCACCAGCTTTTAACAGTGGCAATAAAAGAGCTGTTAGTAAAAAGTGAGATAAATAATTTACACCCCATTGTTGTTCAAATCCATCTACTGTTTCTTCATATGGACAAAACATAACACCAGCTAAAAATAACAAATTAAGATCAACTACACTTTTAGGTGTATTCACTTAACAAATTACAAAATTATGTACATCAAACCATGTTTTACCATTATTAATTAAAACATGAATTTGTGCATAATCTTTTTTTATTTCTGCAGCAAATTGTTTCACAGAATTTAAAGATGCATTATCAAGTTTATATACTTTTGCTTGTCCAGTGCTAACTCCAGATTCTCTGATCCAAGTAATAGTTTTTTCACCAGCTGCAGGTGTTCTGCAAGCTGAAAAATAAATTTATAAATTTTAACAAAACATTAGAAATTATAAGTTTTATAAATATATGTATTTTAAACATACCTATTATTACTTCCATGTCAAGTTCCAGAAGCATTTTTACTACTTCAACACCAATTCCTCGAGAACCGCCTGTTACAATTGCTATTCTTCCTGGTAGAGGTGAAGAATCTTAAAAAGAAAACTTAATATATACTCTGTGTATTAAAGCTTTCTATATTTTTATTTAGTATTTGTTTTTTTGTCTCCTTGTATTTCTCTTTGCTTCCTCCACGTGAAAATAATCATGAATATGTACATATGTACTAATTGCTGAAATTAGTTTCAAAATTGTACATGATTCCTCTTTTTGTATACATTAGGTACAACATTAATATTTCATTAAGACAACCATTTGCACAATTTAACATACATTAACTTTGAAATCGATTACAAATTAGTAGTGTATGATGATTCATACTTTCAAATACTCTTTCTATTTCGAAAATTTTCTATTATTCAAATAGGAAAGAGAAATCGTGAACTGCGCGTGACACAATTTTCAAAGTTTGCAACGTGTCATTTTCAAAACATATAATAAATAAGAAATATTGAAGTGCTTACCATTTTTATTATATTTTGCATTCATCCAATCTCCAATAATTTCCTTAATGGCTAGCGACCCGTATGTTATTTGACATACAAATTTTTCAAGTATGATAGGCCAATTTTCTCGAGAGGTACGGTACATGATAGCACTAGCGATTACAGCAAAAACTGAACCAATAAACAACATTTTTCTGTATTTAATCCCTTTTAATGTTAAAAATCATTAACAATTTAAGTACTATGTTGAAGGATAAATCATGAATGAAGAGTTCTCTTTAATAATCACGTTAAAGTATTCTTCCCACTTCCAACTCAGCTCATGAGCTACTTTTGCGTGTTTGTTAAGTGACATTTTCCCGTTACATTGTAGCGGGCTTGCATTTCTGCAACTTTTAATATATTTCAGCCTCCTTTGTAACATATTGGTTAAGTAGCTAACATTTTTTACATTTTTTCTAATAAGGTTATTATACAGTTGTAAAATTCAATTGATTGTTTGTTATCTATATTCAATGAACACGTATCGTTAAATATTTATTCAACGGAATCCCTGTTCAACATGAACCATAATATCTTGTAGTATCTTGTATACATATTCAGAATCTAATAATTATTCATTAATGTTTTGTAGATTATGTTTATTTAAGAGCAAAATTTAATTTCATTCAGTACTTTTTATACTGAAAATAAATTAATGAAAAACATACGTATTTCTTCTTATAAGTATTACTTATGTAAAAATGAAATAAGCATAACTGTATATTTTGATAAATGTTTTACATTAAAAATAATGTACTTATAAATTATACCAATAACAAATTTAAATACATTACAAATATCAAAGTTAAATATTTATAATTTTTCTACATGTAATTTTCATGTAGTTTGAGAAAATGTCGATAGAGTACGACACTTAATGAGCTGTTTGCACCATCTATCAGAGAAATGAGAAATCGTAAAAACGAAACTCAGGGTAATTATTAACCTACCTGGGAAAATCGTACGTGGGTAGTAAATTTACGTAGATGATCTAGCTTATTGAATTCGTAAGGATCGTATCCATACGAATACTTCTAGAAATTAAGATTTTTATTTAAACCAAGATCTGATCTTTTACAATATAAGGTAAGTCTTTTTAAATCATCACAATTGTTAATAATTCATTGCTTCAGTTCTATTTGTAATGTACAGTTATTGAACATTTGAATTGAAAAAGTAGGCTAACTGTTTCTTTAAAACACGAACTTTAATTTAATAAATGGTATTATTAAAATTAACCTTAAGTTTTTCTAAAATCATGACACAATTAATCAACTGACATTGTATTTTGGATATATTTATGTACATTTAATTGTATACTTTTAAGTTAGCTACTTTCACTTTAGAAAATAGGATGTGATTTGTATTTCTAATATATTTGTGAAATATAACCTGTGAATAATTATTTAATTGTATTAAATATAAGAAAATGAAATATTCTGAATATTAAATTTGCTTAAACCTTTTTGTACGTATCTACAGAATGGCAGAAACTTCAAATACAATGGGTGATAATTTACCACAAGTGGAAAAAGGATGGGCTGCTTTGCGACAACATATTATTTTGAATAAAGTTACAGTTGGATTATGGATTACAAGACTTGTTACTATTCTATTAACTATTGATTATATCATTCCTCTATTTGGGTATGTTATTTTGTATTATGCTTTTATATAAGTATAAGAACATAACTATATATTTTATGTCCTTTTTTTATGTCTTAGCAGTTTTTACAATAATTATTATAAAATATTAATGAGTAATGCTGCAACAAGTGCATTGCGTCTTCACCAAAGGGTACCACGTCTATTTCAATTTAATAGACAATTTTTGGAACATTTATTTCTTGAAGATTCTTGTCATTATTTATTTTATTCATTAATATTTCTATATGTAGCTCCTGTTACATGTATCCTTTTTGTCTTGATATTACATAGAAAAGTAAAACAAAGTATAAAATATAAAATTATTTAAAAAAAATTATTTTTCCTGAACTGTTTATTAGTGGTATTAACTCCTATATTTTTATTTGCTCTAATACATTTTGCGAGCTATTCTCTTACGTTGCTTGATGTAAGTACAAAGGTTTCATGCTAAAATGCTGTATCATGTGATGATTATAGAGTATCATGATACTCAATATTTATGTTGTCTTTTTTTGATTAAGTGTTTAGGACAAAATTACTGGTGGGGAGCACGTTTCTGTATATCTTTAATTGAATTTCGATCAAGGAGTCTTCTTCGCCTTTGTGCATTATCGGAAATAATTATTTTGCCATTTACCGTCTTTCTTGTATTCACGTATGTATTTGAAGTTATTCAATTTTTTGAAGTAAATACATATTATAAATATAATATATAAAATTCATTTTTTACAGGGGTCGTGCTGGTTTATTAACACCATTTATTTACTTTCAATTTTTAAAATTACGTTTGGCATCACAGAGAAATCCATTTACCCGCAATGTCTTTTACGAACTTAGAAATGGACTGAGTTCAGTTTCAAGTAAACCAACAGTGCCGATTATAGTGCGACAAATAATTAAAGGATTACTATCACTTACCCAGCAAATGGCTCCAGTTCGTCAATAATTTTATATTTTTAATATATGTGTTAAGTTTTCAAATAAATTTCCTAGGGTTCTAGGGTCCATATAATTTCGTATGATCGAATAACAAAATAAGTGCAAATGTTGAAAGTAACGAAAAGGTTACAATTAATTAAATGGTATATGCAAATAATCAGAGGATAGATTAGAAAAATTTCAATTGATGTCTGTATTCATTTATGATTGTTATGAATGATAATGACATTTTTGCAAATATTTCATACAACTTATTGTTAGATTAGATCTAGGATTTATTTACTAAATACCAAAATATCTGTAAGATTGAATTGTATAATTGCATTTTTAATGTTTTGTAATACATGATATCGATTTATAATACGGTTTTAACCACACGTAATTCTAAATTACTATAAATCTGTGTATAACACATTAGGTCGACATTAGAAATTAAATGTTATATTTGATTTTTTCTTATTATATCCAGCTTTTGAACAACTGTTTACTGGTAAGATTTATTGTATAGATAAGTAAGGAACATAAGAATATTATTAGTTAATATATTGTCTCATGTTCAGATGCAGTGTAGTATCATTGAAAAAATATGTTGTTACTTTCAATTATGCAATCTAAATTTGTTCTCTTATATGGTGTAAATATAAGTTATTTCATAGAGTTTGTAATAAAACAAAATTTAGGTTATTACGTTCAATTTATTTTAAAAAATCAATTATCTTGTTTTGTGGTATTGTAAATGAATTTTATTTGGGACGTATGTAGAAGAATAAATAAGTTATAATGACATTTTCATAAATACACGAAAAAAATTTTTATGTAATGATCATGAAATAATACAGTTGTCATATTGATATTGGATAAAGAATAAAATCATGATACTTCTTTTAAAATTTTATTTCCATTTGTGTACAAATTACACTGCAAGCGATGTTGGTTGTGGTATGTCTTTCGATGCTTTCACTTCAGATGTTGGTTGTGAAGGGAATATTTCATCTTTTGGTTCAACAATAGAAACAGAGTCTGGCAGAGGTTTCTTTGGACCTGTCTTACCTTGAGGATCATATGGAAGCATAATCTTCACTTTGATCCCAAGAACACCTAAAAAAAATAAGTTAAAAACAATTTTTATTTCTGTTGATAATTTGGCATAATTTTAGTAAATATACCTTGTCGAAGAAGCACATGACGGGTTGCAGTATTAACATATTCATTGGTGGGTTCACCAGAGTGAATCATCAATCCATCAACGAATTTCATTGATTTTGCTCTTTGTCCACGCAATTTACCGCTAACAACAACTTCACAACCCTTTGCTCCTGATTCCATAATAAAACGAAGAACTCCATAACAAGCTCTAAAATTATGTATAGATATAATAACTAATAAATTATTTCATAAATAGATATAAAGTTTTAAACTAACCTCCGGACAGCAAGGCCTCCAATCAATTTGAAACGTAAGGATTCTGCTTGAGCAATAGCACAAAGTCCACGCGTTGCAACTTTTTCTGCATACAATTCAATATTTTGTGTTTCTTTGAAATTGAATCGTTTCTGTACCACAGAAGTTAGTTCTCGGATTCTACGACCTTTTTCTCCAAGAACACTTTGTGTATGAGTCGCCAGCAAAATAATTTCAGTACGGTGAGGAGTAACACGTACCTCTACTCCTGAATATCCATCTTCTGAAAGCTCACGAGTTAAGAACTCGTTTAATTCAGCTTTGAAGACACCATCCCCGACGAACTAGAAATCAAATTATTAAGCTTCAATCAGTTTTCATTAAATAGTTAATATTTTAAATTGCTTTACGTTGATTCACAGTAACATCTTCAGCACTGAATTACATGAATTTACAAACTAACCTAAAAAAGTTATTTGTTGATATAAACAAAAGAAAAATAAACGAAGAAACTGTTACAACTTAATGATATCTCTAATCTATATTGTAGATTACTTCAATTAAAGTTAAAATGAGTAGTATTGGATATTTATCATATCCAAAGATCAAACACGAAAGAAAACAGCTGAAAACATCCATGTCATCTACAGTTTTCACGTGTCATATACGCTTATTTTTTATCGAAATACTCTTCTTTTTGCTTTCGTTAATACCATAAATGTCATATTTTTACAAATCGTTGAACATGATGATTAAAATTCACAAACCTTCCTTTTCTTTGAGATAGAACGATTGTCCATGTTTTATGCTGGCGCTATAAAAGAAGCCGACAATCCAAAAGACCTAACTGGAAGCGGAAACAGCACAACTTGCTCCCGCTATACCCATCAAGTCAAAATAATACTTTTAATGTTATTAAACATTGATTGAAATCTCGAATATGTATTTATCTGTTCACAAAAAATGTACCTTCATTTTTTAAAAAGATAGAAAATATAATGGAGAATATTTTTAGACTATTATATTATTAGATTCGTAGATCTAAACAGAGGTTAGAATAAACATTGGATATTTGAACTCGTAGAATACATTGAAACATGAATTATTGAAATATATTATTTAAAAGAACTAGTTAGATAGGTGCATATGAGTTATTGAATTATAAGATAACCTTTGTCGTCGACGATACTTGCTCGGAAAACAAACGTTTTTGATACGAGAAAAATGAATCTCTTCTGTATAATTAGAAACAGAGATAATGACATTTAAGTAAGAAAAAATCGTATCCTGGAGAAGAATTAGAAATCAATCATCGTAAAAGTACTTGCTTCGTTATAGCTTTTCGTGTACGTATTTCTTTATTCATATAAAATACGCAAGTGTCGACTGACATTATACAAGTAATTGGATTATTTTATTACGGCCCTGATGCTATCGAAACACACATATGCGTTAAGATATACTTCTACATATATACATATGCGTTTTATACACACATCGCTTTGAGTCATACACGAAGATATACTTGTGTACGCGTTCTTTGCTTTACCGTCAAGTGTACCATATATCAGAATTATGTCTCACCCTCGACATGGAGTGGAGGACAGTAGCGCTGACAGTGTTGATAGTGAGTTTATGTTTTTTGGTAATACCGATCAGAGTAGATCCTGATCCGAGTAGCGAGGACATTAAACTTTTTAAGAATTATGTCACGCGATACAATAAAACTTATCGGAACGATCCAACGGAATACGAGGAAAGATTTCAACGATTTCAGGTAAGCCAAGAGATTATTATTTGTGAAAACACTGTATAACTATACGTGTATAAACGTTGCACGTGATATAATTCGCGATCTCTATATAAGTGACAATTTAAAACAATTTACTGTACGTAACTCGTTCTTTTTCGTGGTCGTCTTTGTTTCAAAAATTCGCAAGTTATAATATGCGCTCAGGTAAAAATAATGAAATATGAAACTCGCTCAGGTAATTGATTATGAAATTTAATAAGATATTGAATGAACGATCGAGTTGGAAGCTACGTTCGTCGTGATTTATTCACGATTTTCAATGTATTTTAAAATTACCTTAGATAATATATCTGTAATAATTTATTTTTACTTATTCAGTCATTCATTGAATTTCTACAACTCTATACCGCCATAAAAATAAATTGTATTGTTGCAATCAATTGCCATCCCTTTGTATCGGAAAATAAAGGTAAACGCGAGGAAATTATTCTGCAAAATGCGAAGCATTCCATTAGATCTTTACATAACGAGAGTTGTTCACGTAAATACTGCGCCTTTATTGCAGAGATCGCTGCGGCACATAGAAACAATGAATAGCCTTCGATCTTCACCGGAGAGCGCGTTTTACGGCCTCACAGAATTTTCTGACATGACAGAAGATGAATTTCGGTCACAAGCTCTTTCACCTGATCTAGCGGCGAGAGGTAAGCAATACAATTATTCTTACGTTAAAAGGATACATTACATACAATAATTAACTGAATGTTTTAGGAGAGAAACACGCGACTGCACCCTACCATCGATTGCATCGTTTGAAACATTCGAATCGAGTAAGAAGAGCGACTGTTGTACCCTTAAGATTCGACTGGAGAGACAAAGGAGTAATTACTCCTGTACGAAGTCAAGGTGCATGCGGTGCATGTTGGGCCTTCAGCACCGTCGAAGTCGCTGAATCAATGTTTGCCATCCAAAACGGCACTCTGTATCCGCTAAGCGTGCAAGAAGTAGGTTGCTGGACACGTTTCAATATTTTTCTTTCATTCTCTATCCGGAATAGTTCCTTTACGGCTCCTTTAACAGATGATCGATTGCGCTAAAAACAGTAATTTCGGATGCGAGGGTGGAGACATATGCAGTCTTCTTTCATGGTTGCTGTTGTCGAAGGTCCAAATATTTCAGGAGCACGCTTACCCTTTGACACGAAAGACAGACACGTGTAAACTTGAAAAGTATTTTGAAATCTTATCCCACAAATATTCGCGCCTGACTAATAGAGGTGATTAACGTGAAACTGAATGTTTTCAGAACAGCGGGTAAAATATCTGGCGTTAGGATAAAGGATTTCACGTGCGATAGGTAAGACAATATAGAAATGGAACCATGGATGTTCACATAATACGTTATTTCAAGGGAAACACGTTTCTATTTAACACTAACAGTTTCAAACGAAGGATTATATTTAAGTATTAGACATTCAATCTGCGTAAACGTGTTACGTGGCATATTATCGTATCACCGCATACTGCTTTATGTGCAATTAGTTGTCAAAGGTTTTCTTACATAAGTTGACCGGTTAGTATTGATCATACGATGAATGCAGTAACACCGTTCAATTTATGCGAAGGACAATCTTGTCTAGTTTATTATTTCGTCAGCTAGACTGCTGAAATTTGCTGATTGTATATTTTAATATTCATGTCGCAGTATTTGTCTTTAAGGCGATTAAAGATTTAATGGACTTCAGTTTCGTTGATGCAGAGGATGAGCTGGTATCAACACTGGCTACTCATGGACCGGTGGCGGCTGCGGTGAACGCTTTGTCTTGGCAAAATTATTTAGGTGGAGTAATACAATTCCATTGCGATGGGTCCTTTGATAGTCTGAATCATGCCGTGCAGATAGTAGGATATGACAAATCCGCGAAAATACCTCATTATATTATCAAAAATTCATGGGGATCAAACTTCGGAGACAACGGCTTTATGTACATAGCCATAGGCAACAATTTATGCGGTATGAATTTACTTTTTATCATTGTACAATTGAAAGTATTTCTTTAATTATTTAAAAAATAATGTCTCCGTATTGACAGGTATAGCTAATCAGGTTTCGTCGCTGGACGTTCTTTGAGACGATTCATTAAAAGATTTTAAAGAAAATATTTATATTAATACTATAATGTACATACATAAAATTCAATGACAATAATATTAACAATAACGTCAATTAAACTATATTTTTGATACTTCTTATACAATTGACACAATTTTTACGTTAGTATTATATTGTACGATTACCTATGCAACCATTTGTATACTTTTTACAAATATTATAATATATTTTAAACGGCTGATTAAAATGGTTTTCGACTTCTTGATTACGAATTCGAAACTCCGTAACCTCCTCTAACATTTATATTATTCTAAGAAAAATATTTTATGAACATCCGTCGTTGGCTCTTATCAGTATATTATTCAGGATTTGTATATCCGTTTACGTATCATCTAATGTGCGTTCAGAATTATTCTGATTATCGTCCGGATTCCACCCATTGCACGCAATGGACAATTTTGTCTTCATTTGTTTAGTCAATGGTGGAATCATGTGACGAGGTATCAAAAATGTGGAGAGGTTGAACAAGTCCAAAAACACTTTGTATCTGTCACTGTTAATTAAACAAATATCAAAGATTACAGATTGGAAGACGTGAAGTACGAATGAGTCGATATGTTACCTGAGAGTAGATTTCAAGTACTGATATCCCGAAGATCCACCTGTTCCAAGTTGCTGCGATCCAATCATCCTTTGAACCATCAAAACGTGATTATCTGAGGAGCGAAAAATTTTATTAACGATCATAAATACGAGTTCGTAATTTAAATCGAACGCTTTGCCTTACACCTCCATTTGGTAATAAGAGAATCGATGTCCATTAAGGCGGTCAAAATTTGATGGGGCTGACTAAACCTTGGCTCATCGCGATACAACGTGATCATTACTGCTCCTTGAAGAGCCGCGTAAGCGAACTTCCTTTCCCCTCGCGATACGAGTGCATTGTGAAGAGATTCGTTGAAAATTGACTCGAATACCGCTTGTCGGGAATGCAGGTTCGCTAAATGATAATTTCTGACCTGTTCCTTTGTGTGCTTCTGTAAAAAGAAATAACATTTAACTCGATATTCACCATATCGAGATACTTATGAATGTTCTTATGCTACACACTCGAGCGAATTGTTCTTGTTCGGCTAGCAACTTCTCGACGGATCGTTTGTATTTTCCCCAAAAGTCGAAGTCGTGAGTTTCAAGGCCGGGTGTCCTTGCGAGCCATCTTTGAACGAGACAGCTGAGACTAGGTTCCTCCTCCGAACGTTTAATCGCCTCAATGGCTTTGGGATCCCTTCCAAACACTCTGGTGTAACTCTGATTGTACTTGACTCTGTGTTCTTGTTTCACGCCCAGTTTATTCTCCAATAAGCGAAATTGCAGCGATTGAAAGCCCGAAGCTGGACACAGATAGTCTCTAAACGCCATGAAATCCAGCGGTGTCATAGTTTCTAAAATTGTCACTTGATCCACCAGAAGCTGAACAAGACGAAAATATAATTGAGTGGCATCAAAAATTACTTGTTCCTTCGAACTTGTTAATGAACAAATTTTTCATACATCATTTTTATTTATTTAACCATGATAATTGTAATTATTCAAATTTTATGCGTTTCACACAGACGGCTAATCGATTTCACCGAGTCTACGTCTAAGATAACCGCATCCGCATTTCTATGGTTGCCAAGCTCGTGCTTTTACTTCAAGAGGCGATCTTCGAACACGTGTAACGTTACGACAAATTACCATTACGACGTGTAACATATTAAATCAAAAAAACAAAGTCCGAAGAAAGAAGAAGATAAACGTCATCGTTTTACGTGAACTACAGTCGTTGAAAAGATGACAAGAAGCAATCCTCGAATGCTCAAATAGATAATTTGAAGTCTTAACTTCACCCTCGGATGAGGATTTTTAAAGGAACGAGACGGGAAAACGCGACGACCACACCTGCATTCTGTGGTATCGAAAGAGCGTCAACGAGTTGGTTACCTAATGCATCTATGCGTGTCAGTGTGGGGTGTCGCATATCATCTAGTGGTATTACTTTACTTAGATCCCACTGTTATTTCTACGGTTCTCACAATCTTATTCCGACATGAAAGAAGAGGAAAGTAACGGTAATGAAAAAGTGTCACATTGCTAATAACCTTGATCCGTTTACCAATTCTCCGTGAAGAATCAATGAAGCCGAATTCCGACGATCTTGAGAAATCACGCGAAGCTACCGAATGAAAATTTCTAATGGCCGCTTGCTTTCGTTAAGTGAAATAGTCTTGAAGGGTGACTTCAGAATACAATCTGATTAGCTGGAGCATCACTCCTGTCATAAATCGCGCTGGCCTAATTGGCTTGCGATTAAGGGTCGTTCACATTCCTTCCATCACTGTCATTGTCAACGCATGGCCGCTGGCCTTCTTTCACGTTTACAAGATTAGCTCTGTGACACGTTGAACGAAATTTATTTATCATTATTTTCCTTTTCTCGAGATGTTTGATAAGTCCAATTGCGAGGGGACTAATGATACGATCGTTTCACCGAGGATCCTTTTATATATCGCTTACTTTTAGAATGAGGACGATGCGGTTTAATCTCTTCAAGATTTCCAGGGTCCTCGACTCGTTCAGAATCTGCGGAACCCGGATCTTCTGAATAGCCGGGCGATTGTTGGAGGTACCATTCAAGAAGTCGTAGCCGTTTGATTCTGAGTTAAAGAGTGCTCTGACCGAGTCCAATTCGTAGATAATCTGCTTGAACCAAAGTTCGTACGCTGCGATGCAAACAGAAAAAAGAACATGCTCCTTTGAGGATCATACTTTTTAAAGATTATCGTGCATATAATTGCAGTAAAAGTATTAGTTCAAGTTTCAAACGATAAAAAAATAAAATTGTTGTGCATTGTTTAAGCCCTTGTAATCGTAATTTCAACAAAACAGAATAGATAGACGCTTTGAACTCGTGCTCGTTAAAATGCAGAATTGAATTGCATCGAGTTTGAATGGAACCGAACCGTGCGGAATTGAATCTCTTCAAATCGAATCGCATGGGATTGACTTTCATGTAATTAAATCACATGAAACTGACTTTCACATAATTGAATTGCGTCGAATCAAATTGCATCATGTTATAGTTTGCTCTAATGGATGTACAAAAGATCATGAGGCAAGAGGTCAAATGTGAATGCTAAGATCCTAGAACATCTACATAATAAAACTTTACTGTGCTATATTATTTTGATGTAAAATTTTTACCCTGATGAGTGACGATAAAAAGATGCTCATCGTGTACTTCCTTGTTGTACTCGGCACTTAGCAATCGTTGAGCAGTCAAAATTTTATCTAGTCGCAAGTATTCGCCATAAAGCATGCCCGGCCCTTCAGTCAACTGATCATTATCTTGTTCGTGATCTTCTCTGAAAATTAATGATAATAATCTTATCGAATTCATTCAATCCGCTAATCTTCGCTTCCGTGTCGAATAACGAAAGTCACTAAATTTTATCGCGCTTGAAGTGAAAATTTTGTTACATCATTGTATTATTCAAATCACAAGGTTGCAATTAAATCAGAAATTACGCAGATTTAGCAGTGTAAAAACATATTCTGGAGCGATTACTTACGCAATACCGCCCGATAAGGGACAAGCCATTTTTGAAACGGGTACGAATGCGTGTACCTAATGTTATCGATGATAACTGTGACAGGTAATAGGATGATTCTCTTAAAATTCAAATTCCACAGATTTGTCACTTCGATACGACCGCAGATCGGTTGATAATTCTCTGTTAATGTCACTGTGCGGTTCACTTTGAATGAAAATTTTTTAATTTGACATTTCCTCGAGTTTCAGTGATCACTTGGAGGATGACAGTACATGTTGTCGACAAGGTGGTTGAGCCGCGACTAAAAACTGAATGACCATCGGCTCCGCAAACGATCCCTCTTATATTTTCAACACCGAGGGAATACTAATGTATCACTGTTGATCATTGCTTCTTTAAATGTTTTTGCTGGCCAAAAACAATCTATAAATATCTAATATCTGAGTAGGTTTTTTTATTTTACATTCTTGCTTAAGTGCTGACTGATATTTAATTTTCCTAACGACGCGCGATCGCATCGATGCAATTTCTGATCGATAAATTAATTTGTATATTATATTAATTCCCTCAAATCCAAATTTCTTAATTACGATTAATTAAATGTAAGAGCAAATTGTTATTTTTAAAATATAGTCTCTACTCTTGGAAGAAATTAAAACCATTTGGAATTGATAAAAATGATCGCATAAATATTCAGATTTATCTCTTGTCATCACCTTTGAACTAATTAGAAGTTTAATCGAGTCATTACTAAAAACAATATTTATGAAAACTAATTTATTTCTGTTTCATTATTGAACTTATTAGTTCCACCATATTCCAATAAATGTCGCCACAGGTATCTTTTCGGGTTATCGTAGTTGCGCGATTAAGAAGACAGATGGAGCCAGGAGTTTAAATGATTTGTTTTGCCAAAATGAATTATTAATAAATTTACATATTTACTCATTATTTTTACACGCGGAAATGCTATCAAATATGATAAGGATTTAAAAAAACGAAAGATAATAAAATCGCTAAATTGTATAAAATTTTTCCTTAAACTTCATTAAAAGTACTTAACATTACATAACATTGACCTTGTGATTTTAAAGTTTATTTTGCGGAACAATTTTCTGAAGTTACGTTCGATTATGCCCCTTGTCGATATCATAATTCAGTGCCGTAGCAAGAATAATGCAACAGGTGTGCGCACCCAATGTGTTTTTGACGTAAAATTTATTTTATGACTGCCCGCGAAATTGTCATCGACAAACTTTTTAATGGTTTTCTAAACGACCGTTTGAACGGATAAATCAGGGTTTCGTCAGAGAAGTTATTGCTCTTCAATGGGACTTTGGGATGTGGAAGTATGGGAATTTCAGAATAAACAACTTGTAAATTTTGAAATTTTATTTCGACTTTATTTAAAAAATAGTACATTACTTCTCGTAACATCTCCAAATATTTACAGTTAATTTATCGTCTATTTTTTTAGTGTAAACATATTTAAGAGAGACAAGGTATCATCAGCGTCGAAAGCACTGATGTAATATTTCCACCAAGTGATGTTCGTCAAGTACTACTATGTATGCCTTTAAGTATGTACATCGCATAAATCCAGGAAGAGAATGTTAGTGACTATTAGATCACACAATCCAACCGGTATAATAAGTATTCACTTTACGTATAAGCAATTAGATCTGCCTGCCTGGGGATTGGCAGTCAGAACTATTTTGCAGAGGTTATTCAGCGTTGTGTCATTCGGGATAGTAATTGCGACGTGTAAAGTATTCACAGCTTCTAGTAACACTTTGTTTCTGTAAGTAACCAAGTATCGGAAAATAAAAACTTATGGTTTTTGAATGGGCGTTGATATTTTCAATACGTTGTTCAAGTGTAAGAGTATAAAAGTGATTGTATCTGCAAATACGTTCTGGATATGGGTGTTTTTCATGCGTTTTATGATTTATATACTGAATAATATATTTTTCGATATAAAGTTTCAACAGAGATAACGTACATATGAATGATATTTGTTAATTTCCATATTCAATTTAACTTGTTTGTTTCAAATGCAAAAAGGATTACTTAATCGTTCTCGCGATTTATCATATAATGTAATATTAACATAAATACCAGTTTAAATAATTAGACATGATAATAGGTGTTACAAAAAAATTAGACGCTGTTTTTTCTTTAAAATGAATTATCTATTCTTGTGGCAATTAGTAGTTACTTAGCTGGATGACGCCAGATGACGCCATGGGTCTGAAATGGGTTTTCAGTAGATTTATAAGGGCGATGATTAATCCATTGCAAGTAAGACGTAGATTGGCTTCGAGTATTAGAATATTGAAAAAATCGAGTATTAGAAAATGCCGCTCTTAATTTGAAAATACTTTACAAGAACCGTGAAGAACATAAATAAAAAAGTAGATTGATATCAATACTTCCTTTACCTCAAGTGACATAGGAACTAGTTAACAGAGTTTACATGACCATACTCATTGCGGTAAACTGATTTTTGTTGCATGCTATGTATACAAATAGAAGATGCCGTAAGTGGGGAGATTTTATCTAGGTTGGTTATACGCGTTTGCCACACGAAATGCATATACGTATATTACGTTACACCCTAGAAACGGGAACGACTAAGAGATTATGAATATCTACATTTCGCCAATTTGTATACTGTTGTTTCGGAGCATTGGATTCACTGTTTAATGTAATCAATACCTTGTATACTTTATCTAATCAGTGGTGCTCGTATAATTTTTGGACCGAAAAAGAAATTATCGCGAGATAAATAATGAATGTGATAAAGGTACATCAACGCTTTCTGTACATATGCCGTCAACCATAATTACTCTTATTAGTCTGCTTGGTGATTTTTGCAGAGACACCTCTTCCAAAAGATGTCGAACGTCACTTTATATTCTCACGACATCAGCCCACCATGTCGTGCAGTTCTAATGACGGCACACGCGATTGGTCTGAAGCTCAACATCCACGAGATAAATTTGCTGAACCAGGATCACTACTCAGAGAAATATACAAAAGTAGGAAAACGTAATGCGATAAATTTTGTAATCCAAATTGTAACTTCTTCGTTTTGTTGCTAGATAAATCCTCAACAATCCATTCCAGCAATGGACGACAACGGTTTCTTCCTTACCGACAGGTAACGATATTTTCACGAATCTGAATCTCTGTCGTTTGCATACTAACGTCGATTTTGTTGCAGCCACGCTATTAACTGCTACTTGGTGGGTAAATATGCTAAGGATGATTCCTTGTACCCGAAGGATCTGCAGAAACGCGCCTTAGTCGACCAGTTCCTCTACCTTGATGCGGGACTACTCTTCTACAACGCGAAAAATATTGTTGTGAGTGATTTTCTGCATAAAATGCAGCTTGCTAAGAGGGAATAATTTATCCATTGATGTAATTAGCGAGTGACCATAGTTTTACTAATAATATTAATATCCATTTGCTGTTGCAAACTTGTACATTTGAAAATTTGTTAGCGTCTTCCTAGAATCTATAACCCAGTACTAGGTTTCTCTGCCAGGACTTCAGCTTTGGTTTCTTTCGCTTTAATTAAGAGAAACCTACTAAACGTTTCACTTCTCTCTGCAAGCTTTTTTATTCATCGAAAACAATATAACGCTTATTACGCGCTTATACGATACTTGGTGTATCGCTGTTGATGGAGTTAGCATAGACTAAGGCACGTCCATCGGGGAGGCAGATTAAGTCGCGCGAAAGGAGGTTAATGCGATTCGCCTTTCCGCGAGTACATGCGCGCAGGAGTATTATGTGATACGGTAGGAGTTTTTGAGCATCCTATGCACCTTTTACAGCACCTAATAAAGTTGGCTAACTGCACATTTTTGTCCGGGATAGGCCAACTACCATGCACATACTCTTTTCTCTACTCATACGATACACTTGCAAACTAATTTTTTACTTTCGAACATTAGGAAGATATTGTACTTTAAGGTTACCGTTTGCGAACCGACTGCATGGGGTATATTTTCAATTTTCTTTTGTGACTATTTGCAGAAACCCATATTTCAACAGAGAACGAAAACGGTTCCCGAGGAGAAAATGGAGCGTATTAACGAAGGGTTCGACCAGTTGAATAAATTATTGGAGGGTAAGAAATGGCTCGTAGGAGATTCTTATACTCTCGCGGACATATGCTGCGTAGCAACCGCATCGTCAAGCACCGTAAGTTCTCCAACTTCTACTGAAACGAGTTCGTCTGAATCTTCAAAAATTGGAACACGTCTTTTGTTATGTTTTTGTAGCTAATAGTGAACATCGACAACTATCCGAATGTAAAGGCTTGGCTACAGACATGCGAGAAGGAACTACCAGGCTACAAAGAGTGCAATGCAACGGGAGACGCCAAATTTAAAACGATTGTTCGCTCCATGATGTCAGCGAAATAGAACTTTCTTCTCTCTTATTGTTTCTAGATGTAGGGTTACGATATCTGAATTTTATTAACACGTTTATAATTATTATTTTACAATAAAGTGAAAACGAGGAGACATCATTGTAAACAGCCCTTTATTTAGAAACGAATTATTCGCTCGTTGACTCGGTTTTGCGCAATTCGTGTTGCCCTTTTGTCCACAAAGCGTGGCATATCATTCGCCGGACACGATATTTCCCGGAAGGGCAGATAACTCGGTGTGCTGATTAATATGCTTTCTCTCGTGTCATCTTCTCTTTTGTTTCCCTTATGTTTTGTCCGGATGCGTTATCGTGGACACCTAATCACGTGTTTAAAATTCAACACTCGTACTTTGAAATTGCGATCGCGAATGATAACTTATTTTTTACCGAGATAATGTCATCTAGGGCGCAACGTCCTTTCTTTCGAAACCGTTATGAAACAAAAGCAGAAATTATCGTTTGTTCCACACACTCTTCTCAAGATCTGTTAGCGATTTTTTAACTGTAAAAACTTGTAACCGGTTCCGAATTCAATGTTTGCTAAGTGTCCGACTGTCCGTCTTGCGTGATCGTGTTAGCACGTACAAGGAAGTTATGTTTGATCGGTACTCGCTAAAATTTATAGCCTGTGGTAATTCTTAACGCACTAAAACGGTGTTCAAGACAGCTTGAAAGTGTTCACGTAATCTGTACGTAATCATCGACATTGAACCTGCTGCCGCAGCAGAAAACGCATCTCTTCCTATCGTTCCTTGACAACTGTTTTCATCTTTATCGTGTACTTTGGACACCGTGTTATTTGACTATAATTTGCAGAAATTAATACCTTCTATTTCCGGCGATTTTCTTGCTTAGCACCACTTAATACATTTTCTCTGATTTGAGCTGTGTACACACGTGAACGAAGCTGCCACGAGCGAATCTTCTTTCAAGCGCTTTGTGACGCGTTTCGTTTCAAGAAACGCTTATCAAGCTTTGCATTCGATAGTTATATTAGACTTCTGAGGGGGAGGAGATCCTATGTTTTTGGAATTTATTCGAATGAGATTGTTTTTTTCTGAACGTAACTTTTGTTACTTGCGGAGGAGCATTAACCTTAGCACAATTACGTCCGATCAAATCGTAGTCTTTAACATGATAGGTGAATCAAATCGTGAGTTTCGCAATATCGACGACCCGTTTAAATGTTTGCTTGCGTGTACGGTATTGTTGAATGTGTACATTGTATGGAAAACAGCATGATCATGGGAAACGAGCTCGTTGCCACGAGAAGTCGGTTAATTAGCAAGCACTTTACTCGTACGTTGTATTATTCGTCCCGCGAGTCGCTTTTCCGGTTTCTCTCCTCCGGTGTATTTTCTGTTAGGTAATCCATGACGCGCGCGGCGGTACAACCAAAAACAGGTCTCTCCTTCTTTTACCTTCAATTCTCATCCCGTCTTTGACGCAATCTTGTCTTTCTTTTTTGACGCGATCACCGATCAGCGTAATACAACGCAACGAGCAGCATTCTCGATTTCCACGAACCGAGATGCAGCGGCCAGCTCGGAGGCCAACCTCCGGTCAGACTGGTTCTCGCTTTTTGGCTCGTTTTTTAAATCTAACCACGTGGCTTTGTATTTTTTTAGATTCGACCATGCGGGAAGAAGAAAATCGTTCGAATAGAACCTTTTTCAGATTCGGTTACGAGGAATTCCGTCACCCGCAGTAGGGTCTAATAGGATTACCTCCTGTGGCTGATGAACGGAGCAAAGAAAGGACCAAAACGTCCTTTTATTCTGCTAGGTCGGTACTAGCTGAAAAAATGATTAGCATTCTTTTGCGTCCCGCAGGAATATTTATAGAACGCCTTGCCATCGAGTCATTAATTTTAGTGTTACGGAGTTTAGGCGGTCCAAAACGTACTTTATGAGAACTAGTTCCGAAGAACGCTTCTTCGGAAAGCTTAGGCTTCTCGTTATACACGACATTTATTACCGATTCTACATGCAAGAATTATGTGATTAATTCTGCAGTATAAAAGTTTTCCTAGAACCGACGTTATTCTCCATGTCCTGTGCGAAAAATTTGGACGAAAAATATATGGAGACGAGTATTTGTTTCTTTGTCAGTAAAATTTTGCTGTAGGATTTGCGCAATTCTAATCGCCTCACTTAATACCGTTTTAATGAAAATTGATGACTGGAGGGAGAAATGTATAATTTTCTACGCTGAAAAACGCAACATGTTTATTTCCTCATATGACAACGCAAAATTTTCTAGCCTCGTACACGCAACTGATAGTTAATATAATGATATTTGCTCGTTTTAGACAATTGGTGTACTCTGTTAATTAATGATAATTGATAGTTTGAATAGTTGAAACGAATAAAATTAGCAATATATTTTGTGTAAGTAGATGTGATCAGTTCCAATGAAACGTTTCGATACCATGACCGGGGTCAGTCGATCGACCTGCTTGTCTGAAGTCACGATCGCTTCTATTTGCTAAACAAATCGAGCTGTTGAACACTGTTAACGTTCTTCCTGTATACAAATATAACCAGTTAGTACATAACCGTGAAACGTATTCCGAGTTTGATTCTGTCCTCGCAATTGATTAAATAGTTTGCTTGCATGAAGACAAAAGAAAAATATTAATAGTTAAATCGGTACATTGCCATGCATTTACCGTATATTGAATTACTATGCGTCAAGTCAATATACGTTGCTTTCTGATGAGTTAGTCCAATGTGTCAATAGCACTGTCAATAAATACTGTGACTCTGATATGTTGATGCTAAGTCCCCAGTGAATAAATCACACATAATTTTGACTAATATTGTGGACGAGGGAAATGAAACTGCGACACCAATATACTCATCAAAAATCTCTAATGGCTCGTTAGCGAATCTTTTGCGAATCAAAGAACGATTACAGTTTCCGTCGAAGTTCAGTTACCGTTCCCAAAGGTCAGGGTCACAAACGAAAACTAGAGAAGCGGGAACGAGTTTCAAGTCACGCATCTTGCTCCTGAAAGATTTTATTTAGCATTCACGAACATCGCTCTCGCTTTCTGTCGAAGGTCGCTTCGAACAATGGCAAAAGTTCGATTATCAGTTCGTAGGGATCATTCGATGATCGAACACACGCTTGATAACGCTCGGCTGTGTACGAGCCTATAAATACATATTCACGAACGGATGTTGAGGCATTGCTAAGGTCCACGTGGTCGTGGATCACGGTGGTGGCAACAGTCGGCCTCCGACCGTCGTCCAAGTGTGCATAAACGTGAACCCGGTGTGTTTCTTGTCTACGAAGCGAAAAAGCAAGAACAAGCAAGGTCTGGAAGCGAGGGAACAGGCCGGGACGAGTTCCCTTTCGGCTCGTTTTTTCTCTTTTCGCTCGGACGTGTCCGAAGGAAGTGTTCGTATTTGATTTTGCAATTATTCGAAATCGGAGGGAGCTGTTTCGAGACCGTGTGTATTTCACCGTGATGAGCATCGAGGGTGTCGCGAATCTCCTCGTCGCGACTAACTGTTCTCCTTGATGCTTGGTCATTCTTAAGCAATCACCGGATTAGTGTTAGGTGCAGCGTTTCCTTGCGTTCTTTTTAAATTCGTTTTTTCGCGGTCTGGCAACCGCGGTTGCACGAGTTCGCGACCCATCGGATCGATGAGGTTCGAGTGATATTACAGCCGGTGTTGGGCTTTGTGCGCCGATCTAAGCGAAAGCTGATCCATCGATCCGGTCTGTTTGAAGGAATTCACTGAAATAGCAGGCGTAAGTTGACATCGTATTATGCGAACGGGCCTCACTTGCAATTTATCGATTCGTTTATCGATCAAGATTATTTCGCCAAGTATCAAACCTTGTTCCAAACCTGACTTCAAATTACTAGAAGTTACAGAACTTGAAGTGTTATTCCGAGCAAAACTTCATACATTTGTCACTTATTACGTTACCTCTTATAGTTACGTGAGACAGTGTTTATATGTTAATTTATTTCCTATCCATTATGTATTTTTCTAATTACTTTTCAGCCCGAAAGTAGGTGTAGATCCAGTTGTTCTAGAATTAAGCGAAAATGTAAATGGTGGTAGATTTAATGAGGAGGCGTTCGTTGAGCAATTTGTTTCAAACGCGTTTTCTCCTTGCGGTCGCTTTTCCAAAATGTAAATTCACCACGGCCTTGTATATTCGTGCGGTTTCCAGTTTGCAATTCAATCGTTGTTGCTGATGTCCGATATGCATAAAGATGGAATTTTAAGCTTGCGATTCGTACGAAATTCGATCAACGTTTGGACTAGAAAACAAACAAGATAGAGAAGATTCGTGGCCGTCTCGAGGATCCTTTCTTCTCTTTTCGTCGATCAGCAAGGTCTACGCGTCGATGGGATATTGAAACTTGCTCGACCAGCTGCACTCCATTGCAATCTGTTTAAATTTCTGAGAAAAGTGAGGTTGCTGTTTACAGCGATTGTTCTCTGCCACCGTTCCTGCGTCAAACTGAATTTTACCGCGTGTTTCCGAAAGGCTGGAAAAATCTTTGCTTCCAGATAAACTTAAGATAACTCCAATTAATGTGGACGATACGAAAAAATTTTGTTCATACTTTTTTAAGTAAATTCGTTTTTTAATTAAGTTCACAAGAATTTTCAAGTTTTAAAATACAGAAGACATTGAAATTTTTCTCCACCCTTTTTGAAATGCCCTGTAGAAATCCTATTAAGTTTCAGCATAGCAGACATAGTTTACGAACGCAGTGAAAGTGCACCATAATCTGTGACGCGTTAATGAACGAAACTATCTTCCTAATTATCCTTCAACCTCGAACAAGTTTCTATGCAATCCATTATATCTGTGTCACTCAACTTTTCTTTCGTTATGATTTCATTCGATCTCGGTGCAGGAGATGAAAAACAAAAATGATTCGCGCGTAATTTTTCCTGTTCGATTTATCGTCAAGATCTTTTATTTATTACAAGATCCTCCGTGTCTTTTCACTGTCATTTTCGTCGCAGTAATCGACGTGTAGATACGTTTTCGCAAACGTCTTCGCGATGTCTAGGATTATACAAATGACACACCGGAGATGGCATTTCCTAAATCAATAGTTACTCCGCATCTCCTCGTAATCTTGAATTCAAATAATAATAGGTATGCAGTCGAACGTGTGTATCCATGTGTGCGTTTGTACACGCCACACGATTTGGAGGTCGATCATTGAGGATGTAAATGCATGTTGTTCAAGGTGTTTCCTTTTTTCTCCTCTTTTTTAATTTTACATTAAACATGTTTATTGATTGATAGTGCTGCATCGAGACGAGACTTTCTACAGATCGTTCTTTGATCATTTCCAGATTCATCGTAGATAAATACTTGTCGACCTTTGAATTTTAATTTCACAACTCGCGATCGAGTGCTCCAGGGCAAATCGATAGCTCGCTTATATTGAAAATTTGATGGTCCGTTCTTTAATTTCATAATTGAAATATCCTGAAAGTCGGGAGGAAATTAATTAAAAACCAGTTGATATTCGCAAGTTTATAAAATTTAGATAAGTCCTCGACTCAATACATCGCGAATAAATAAAACATAAGCGAATGGTTTAAAATTGAATACGTACATAACAATTGTGCCAGCGGTCATTGAATTTCATGGAGGTAATTTGAATGACGAGTTAACCCGTCGTCGTTGTTTCATGAATTCGACTTTAAATCGAACCGTACTCTCTCGGTCAACTTTCGAACTCGTTGCTTGAACCGGAAATACGTCATGAAACGAGTGGATACGCGTTGATGTGTACAAACTATCGACTTCGTTCTTGTGCGAAAGCAATCCGTTCGGTTCATTGTTTTGTTTCCTCGCAATGAAACCTGGTGCAGCACGCGACAGAGCGAGGCACATTTCCGGTTGCCGGTGTATCGACAGACACGCTTGTTACGCTCTTCAAATATTTGTTCTGCCCTGCGCTGCGTGATGTATCAGCGAGCGGTTTCATCGTATGATCTTGATTTATAGATCGCGGCTTTGCCTTCTCTGTGGTTTCGTCATTTTCGAAAACAACTATCCTGAGTCTCGTTTTTCCCTCTTTCGCCGACAACAATGCATCCACAAAATTGCATACAAATAAGAGCCGTGTATCAACGGTATCAAAGCAGAGGTTCTTTTATGGAAACAAAGAACTGTACTTTTCAATCGCTTTGAATTTTAGTGAAATTCGTAGAGATGGTCTGAGAGAAATATATGTTCATTCAGATACCTCTATCGTAGGATCAGATTTTTATAATATTAGATCTCTTTGTTCTCAGATTCTTATACTGTCTGACGTCTAAAATCTCTGTTGCATCAGTCCCAGATTTTTATAGTGCAACTTCCACAGTTCCACATTCCTGCATACTCAGATCCTCACATGACCAAGATCCTCAATTTAGATTCCTATGTTTTGCACCTCCATCCAAATCTTCAATTCGGAAACCTTGGTATCTCTACACTTCTATTCTTAGTATCTATAGTTTCTTTTTTCCTACATACATAATTTATTTTGCAGGCCGCAATCAAGATGAGGATCGACCAGATCGGTCTTCTGCTATGGAAGAACTACATCGTCCGAAAACGCCAGCCGGTAACTATATAGCAAGTGGTCGTTTAGTTGGGACAATTGTTTAAGTCCTATACACAAACTTGGATGTTTAGGGAATATTGGCGCTGGTATTCGTATGGCCAGTGGTCGTGTTCATGATCCTGTACACGATTCGGGACAACGTGGACCCGAAGTACTATCCAACTTGCCAATTTCCAGCGAGATCGATGCCGCAGAATGGACTGCTGCCTTTCGTTCAAAGTTTCATTTGCAGCCTCGGCAACCCCTGCGATCCCCTCGCGGAATACGAAGAAGTTCCTTCTTACAGAAACGCCACGTTAGTGCGGAAAGTTTGAACGATTTTTCTGCAAAAATTCAGGCCTCTAATGCATTGTGCCGTTCGTAGTCGAAGAAGATTTATCGTGTTCGGATTAAACTTTCTTAAGCGGCAGCGAACGGAGAAGCGATAGGAATAACGTTAATCCCTGCTTTTCTTTATCCTTGCCCGGAACTTTTTTTATGGCTATATCGTACTTTTATGGTTATGTATATCGATTTCAATTCTTGTACGTTTTTCGCTATTACTTCTCTTTCGTACGACCTTATTAACTAATAATTTATTAACTTAACTAAGTTTCCTGCGTACGTGTTAATTTTTTTTATAAGTACAATTTGAGATGTAAAATTCTTGGAGATTTATAAATTGCAAACGAGATGTATTACAGTCTAGGTTCGCTGGTGGTGGAGTTACAACCAATGCTCGATAACGAGACGGTTCTCTCCGCCGTGAGTACGTTACCGAATAGTATTCAACTCCTAAAATCAATGGCGCAAATACTAACCAGACCGGAAATCAAGGCGTTGTTCGGTACGCATGCACGATTTTCCCACTTGCTATCTCGGCGACACACGGATTCACATTGACTATCAAATTTGTCTAGATCGTGGCATTCGATTGGGCGATCTGTTCAACAACCACGAGGAAATCAAGAACCTCCTCAGGCTCCAGATGCCGTACGCGCGTGAAGGACTGATCGACGAATTGTTCGAATCGTCCATAAAATTATTATATGTTAGTACTACATCTCTTACTTCCATTACACTTAACTTCCCTCCATTACACTTAACTTTCTATAATAAAATTATACACATTCTATTCTCTTGATAAAAAAAACCACCCCCAACTTCTTTTTAGCTAATCGAGGCATTCGGTTCCTCCAACATCGACGGGGTGATATGTTCTCCAGAAAATCTAAAGAAGTACCTGATTTTACCGAAAGAGGAGGACTACGCGGAAATCTCGAAGATCCTCTGCGACATCGATTCGGAAATGATTCCCAAAATGCTCGAAAGTTTGTCCAAACATCTTGACTTTTCCGGTCTCATGGAAATGGTGGACCGTGCAATGGCGAAGTTTCGCGACTACGATTTCTTCGAGGACTTGAAACGGGCCGTCGAAACGATTCTAGATCTGAAGGTCGTAATGAAGTACGTCCCGGAGTACTTGAGGATACGTCGATGGCTGCCGAAGATGATAATGGTCTTCAAGAACGTCACCTTCAAGGACATCGATCTTACCTTGTGAGTGACGAAGTGTATTTCATTCGGTCAAGAGAGATTTTTACCGACGTATTTTCAGCGTGAACAAATCGTTGACGATTTTGGATCCCGTGTTCTCGGCGGAGCACGATTGGCCGATAGCTCGACGAGTTTTCCTCAGGCTGCAGAAGCTGTTGGAGCTGGCGAAAGAGATGAAGGACGATCGAAACGGTAATCAAACGGACGATTTTTTTACGATAATAGAACGATTGAAGGGTTCCATGCGAGCCGTGTCGCTGAATATTGGAAACAACGAAAATTTCACTAAGATCATGGATCTGAGCATAGCGATTCTACACGATGGAGCGAAGCTGACCAACAAGATCATAGAACGTCACGTGGATGAGATTGAATTGTAAGTTTTTCCAGATGCTTTGAAGTTGTCACAGGTGTAAGCACAAAGGAACTCTCTTTGCAGATCAGTCGAGATTTTAGACGGGCTGAAAGATTTCTTGTCGGATCACGTTCTAGCGACGTTGAGTTACATTTTATCCTTCACGCAGGCGATCGTTAAGATGATACATCATGCAGCCATCATTCACGAGGATGTTCCTTATAGGATATACAATATCTCTTTAAACCACAAGGATACCGTGGAGAAGCTGTTGACCAACGTCGATCCGAACGTCTACCGAACTTTCATGCGATCGTTCTCTAACTTAAATTTTGTGGAGGTTGTTTCAAGATTTTATTGATTATATTTCTTTACACATTCAGAAGATAATTGTGGACGTGTCTGTCTAGAAATTCGTGGGCAAAGTGCGGCAGAGCAAGGTGGAAGATTTTTTCTGCCAGGAGGAGATTCTAAACGAAGTCTTCGAGAATTTTAAGGACGCCAAAGACGAGTCGAGTTATATCAAGGAACTACTGTGCAGCGATCCTGGGAAGAAGTTGATCGCCGACGTATACGGCGCTTTCGAGTTGAAGGAGTTCGAAAATATCGTAAGCATTCTCTATTCCCACGAACAGAAGCACTATCGAACCATTGTACAGAAACGTAATGCTGACAGATGACCGACTCTTTATCCGCCGTCGTCAGCATGGTGCTCAAGCAGGTAATCGGTATCGAAAAATCGAACCTGACGTCGGTCGTGAAAAGCGTAAAAGGATTAGTGTCGTATTTGGAATCACCGACGCCATCGGAACCTGACTGGTCTGTTTTTAAATCGAACGAAGCGTGGACAGCTGCCTTCAAAGAAACTGAAGCTCAAGGAAGACTGAACGTGTGAGTGTTTTTCCGATCTCCAATTTGGCGTTTAATACCTTGTAACGATCTTCTCTTTTATTCTCTTCAGCTTGGGGATACACTTGAGCATCGCGAAAATGATCGGCTCTCGTAGCTTAACTTATGCGACCATCCGACCCGATTTAGAGAACATGGACATACTCGCAGAGATTATTTTGCAAGACTTGAGGGAGAATCCGACGAGTTGGATCGGAGAAGTCAGACGTCGTAAAGCGCAGCTGATCGAGTCGTTCTACTTGACTGTAACCGATAAGGATAAGGTGAACAATTGCGAATAAATTCTTTTATTAACCCATAACCTCGAGTCTTAGTACTTGGCGTTGTAAAGAATCGGCTCGTTGAAATTACGAGGCTGTTGCACGATCTAGAAGACATTTCCATAAGTATTTATTTGATTACCAGCAATGTGGATGCATTGCTTTCGTTGTTGCGAATAATAAAACTAAAAATGATGGTCGTTCATATATTTTATTTTGAATAAAATTTTTCTTTTGATTTTCTTAGGCTTTGAAGATTTTAGAATACGACAATTTCACTCGCACTTACTGCACGGATCCCAATCCTCCTGCCTTATTAAATTTTCCAAAAGGATCAAACGAAACGGTGCTGAAATCACTCGTCTGCCGTTTATCGAAGTCCGTGCAAACTGACCTGGAATTGAATATCACGGAGATCGAGCTGAGAGAGGACGCTCGTTACTGGAAAAAAGGATCTTTCAACTTCACCGATTTCAACGCTAAAACGATCGAGATTTATCGGTACATCGATACTCTGATTCATCAAAAAGATACCGATTACGATTTTACTAATTTAGAGAAATTGAAAGAGGACTTTCGCACGTCGTGGAGCATCGATCTGTCGATAAAAGATGTTTTCGAGCTGAGGTACGCAAGTAATTAAAACAATATTATTCTGTTCGTAATGCAATTTTAAAACTAGGTGCTTTTGTGAATGGAGCTACTTCTGGAAACGATAATTATACTCGTTTGAAAATGATTTTTCAAAATTGAACACCTTTAAAATTCAGAAATTTCATGAATTCGAAGAGAGGGAACTGAAAATGAGCGATTATGGAATGACCTAATAGGCATCGCTCTTTCCGACCGACAGGCGTTTACCCTCGGTGACACGTAACATCTTTCTGCAGCGTAGGTTTGATCTGCAAGTTCTTCAGCGTGATGGAGAGTCCTCTCTTCCGGACGAAAAGTGGATGGACGGAGATGCACGCGATGGGTTGGGCGTCATCGGTAATCTTCGACAACGTCGAGAGGATCGTCGATCAAATTCAAAGGAACGATCACGTGGCCAAGCTCTCCGAGGTGCTGGAGGACATGCCTCAAACGGAAATTCTGTTGAGTGCCATTCTACGAAATTTGTCCCCGCTGATTCTCGACGTGGTCGACATTATCACCATGAAACCGATCCACCTTGTAAGTTTCCTTAGCGAGCCTGAAATTCACTCAGCATCTCTACGAGATCGTGTTCTCTGTTGCTTGCTAGATATCCGTTCTCGACGATTACAAATTCCGCGAAGAACAATGGCCGTGCATACAAAACGAGAGCGTAGGGGCCGCCATGGAGCTGCGAAACGGCACTCGCGAAATTGTGCGAGAGATCGAGAGGATATCGTGCAATCCGGCTTTGTTCACTCAAGAATGGAGGGACCAACCGGTGTTAACAAGGGCGCGAAAGATCGTAAGTAGAGAGAAATAGATTGTAAAAGAATGGGAGTTTCATTTTAAAATTGGATGTCAGTTTCAACGCGACAGCGCGGTGCAACTGCCTCCTTTTAATTGGACCCTGGGCTACGGCAAGTTCCGCCGACTGGCTAAGAAGATGGACGATCTGATCAATAACGCGAAGCAGGTTGCCCTAGCCGAACAACCGAACCTGTGGGAACATTTGGAATCGCTCGTACCGGAAGTCAAGAGCATACTGAACGAAAGATGGCCGGACGTGAAGAGCGATGCCAGGTGAGATTCTTCGTTCGCTGCTACAGATTTTGTGAAACTTTGAGCTTTGAACATAACTGCTGTTTCGCAATAGTTTTATGTCATGAAATTACACGAGACTTCTCATGTTTCGAAATCGGTTATCTGATAAGTTAATAAAGTAATCATGGACGTGTTTGCAATTTAGGAGCACGCTAGACTATATAGATATGGAGCTCGACAAGACCGTGTCAGCTTTCCAAAGCAACCTCTCCGCATCTGGTGTTTGGAAGCCAACGATTGCCATCCAGGATCGCGTTCTTGTGCTACTGAAATTTCTCTCTCACGTTGTTCACAAGACCACGAAAACCATGTCTGAAATTCTACGCGACAGTGAGTGCTAATATATCAACGATGCTTTCACCGCATCTCACGTAGACAGACAAATCATCGAAATTGATTTTCTGTTCTCAGCGACTGAATCGATTCCATCGCAAACATCCATGACGCTACATTTCTTACCGCTCATGGGGTTCAATAAGAGAACGGCTATAGCGATTTACTACAACCAGTTGCCTCATATCTTGGCCACGTTGATAAACGGATTATCGGACTCGCAATTCGACAATCAGGTGGTGCAGTCGTTTATGAACAACGGCGGTGTCACTTGTTCGCAGATATTCGAATGGCTGTCAAATTTCGTCGTCGGTGTCGATTCGGATGACTATAGAATATTAAAAAATTTCACTTGCGACCTTGATCCTGATAATTTCAACTCTTACACCGACTTGTACATGGCTGAATCCACTGTCTGGAAGAAGCCCACCAGCAAATACCGAGCTCACACGATGAACGCCATAGGAGACGTGTACGAATTCGGGCACGAAACGTGGAATGTAGTGAAAGACTCGAAAGACAAGAACATCAAAGTCGAAGTACCATTTTCAACGTCTTACTTAATGTCCACCATTAAAAAATTGAAGGAGACCTTAGAGGACTATGATACAAAAACCAAGGTACATTATTTTTGCCGTAGTATTCTCAAATATTTGCAAACGTAAAATTTTTTCAGGTAATAAAAGATAATTACGAATGGATGAAGCATAGACTCTTCGTGGAAGGAATTTCGGAAGCTTTGATCCACATAGCTAACGCGATGAAGAGTATGAAGGTACAAAATGGTCGCGTGAACATCTGGGACTTCGTCGAAAACAGCGACGTGAGGCAGTTGCTGAAGATCCTCGACGAACATCCCGAGGAGACGATAGCTTTGGTAGCCAGCCTCAGTGACGCTAATCTGAATACTGGTGGCTTCATGTCGTACGAAAACGTGAGGAATCTCGTGTGCCACTACCGTTTTCGTTCGAGTTACTGGTCCACTCCGAACAGGACACGATTCCTGCAGGAGGTGTGCTCGTTCGACCCCTACCAATTGCTGAAGACGGTCACCAGCGAGGAATATTACGTGAGTAACATCGTATCGAGTACGAGTAAAAGTTTGGTTGCTAACTGTAACTTCTAACAGCTCCTCGTGACCGGACACAGAAGTACCCTGGCGAGAGTAACACCTCTAGGCCCATCTCTGACCAAACTGTTGGACGAGGTCATAAAGCTACACGAAAGGGAGCCAAATTTGATCGTGCAGTCCAAAATCTTCGGTTCAACGACCTGGAGGAAGCTCTCGAACGAGACGTTGTCTGTCATTCGCAAAACCGGTGAAAGCTGGGCGCACAAATACGTTGTTGAGTCGAGAAACAGGGCGCATTCGAAAACGGTCGAGTCGATGGGTTCGGCTCATCCTTTGGTGAAGGTGTTAAACATGTATCAGCTTCTTGACGCTACGGTCGAGCTGTTGACCGGCGGGGATATTTGGCAAAAGCTACGAGTCATCTACGAGAACTCGAGGGTGAAACCAATCTTGACTCTGATAGAGGACATACCGAATCTCGTCGTGAGCTGTGTTGACACTTTCGTGAAGTCGGAGAGATTGAACGATTTCGTGGAGAAGCTTACGTTTGGCAAGCTACACCCTTGCGACATCGACAAATATTTGATCGTACCCAGTTTCGTGAGGAAGAAAGTTCTCTTGTCGAGCGTCACCAACTTCTGCCAGAAGATCGTTTACGCTGATAGACAGCTGACTTTGATCGATGTATTGCCCCTTGACGCCAAGCACGAGGTACATTTACCCTGATGGAACTTACTAGGTGAAATTATCCTTACAAGTTGTAACCTTGTACAAATTTGTACGAATTTCGTAGGAGAGTCTGGTGACTGGATCCGGGGAATTCAACGAAACTTACTTGATGGAAAAATGGGACCATGCACAGTCGACGATCATTCGAATCGCGTCTGAAGGAGTCAAAGACTTGAAGGCACCCTTGTGGTGGACGTCCTTCAAGGAGGGCACCTTCGAAGACTTTTTGTCTCATTACAAGAAACAGGTACGTTCTGAAGCTTCAGAGAAATTATCTAGTTGACGATGGCAACTTTTTAGGACTCGAGAGCATTGGCTCATCTGGTGGTCAAAAAGGTCTTCACGAGCTTGAGGAACATCATGAATTCTTACGAGAGCACCGAGTAAGCATCAAATTAATCTTTTGTTGTTTATAAAATTTTTTAACAGAATTTAATGATGTCAATGCTTGTCTCTGATTACCGAAAATTTTGAACCTAGAGCATACGTGACAAATAGCGGAATTCATCCGCAATCAACGCGCGGAACTCTTGAATTTCAAACACTAAATTTATCGAGAGATTTGCTTTCAGAGAGTGTTCATGGTGCGTCACGTTCCCTCTCGAAATTCTAAACTCCCAGCTAGTGAACCATCAACTGTACTCGAAGCTGCTGTGTCAGCTGAATCGATTGAAGGTGTCGGAGATTCATGACATTTTGATGCGCGATTTCTACTGGAACAAAACCGCCAGCATGGTGAGAAACAGTTGCACTCGTGATCTATAACAGTGATGGGTAGGTCAAGTACGAACGTTGATGGGAGCTTACCATTCGATATCTTTTCTCCTTGCTATGATTTCAATTTTAGAAATCTGAAACTTTAAATTTTTTAACTAAAATTTGCCCACTAACGTCCAGATAAGTTTACAAAATTTCGAACGCATTTCAGGTGAAGAACTACAGGTACCTAAACGTGAAACGAAGCAGAGGCGAGTTTTTGAATACTTTAGAGAGTACTATGAACTACGTGGTCGACATCATAGTGAATTTCCAAAACGAAACCTATAGGGATAGGATAAATCAGTGCTATCATAATTTTGTTGGGCAACCAGCAGCCAGTAGGCCAGGATTGTAAGTTTTATAAGTTCCCACCAAAAAAGTATGACGATTAATAAACCCCATTTCAAGGTACGTGTCCATGGCTCTGGGGATTCTGGACTCCCTGCAGAAGAACGTGTTCATCCTGGACACGGCTAGAAACCACAGGAACATCGATGCATTGTCAAAACTGGCAGAAATGTACGTTCCAATTTGGAAGTCCGTTCGTGATGTGGTGAAGTCGTCAGACGTCGACGACATCGACGCGTTTCTACCTGGCGCAATGATCAACGTGAATGCGGTCTTGAACTCTCGAAACGACACTCTCTGTCGAACGAAGATCGAGTGTCGCAACTCGACGATACTGTATAATTATCTGAGCTCGAAAAGAGCTGGCAAGGCGTTCCGTTACGACCCGAAAGCCTCGAGTTATCATTCCATCATGGAGATCTCTGATCGATTGTCGCGGAGCTTGGATCTGGATCGCATCGATCGCGATCGTAGGCAATGGCGTATGGAAGCCACGTGGAATTTAACGTGGCTGAGGGAGATCCTTGGCCACTTGTCCATCGTTATCGAGGAGAGCGGCAATCTCCTTGATGTTGCCAGTAAAATAGACTTTCAGGACGTTTCCAACGTTCTCGGTGTCCCCGATGTCGTCGACGGTGTCGTTAATATATTGAAGGATAAAACCGTGGACAAACTTTTCGACGGGTAAGAACCTGAAATTTTCGAATTTGAAAAATCCCCAACTCTCAAGTTGCCAAATTACTCGATCTCGCAACAAACTGCTGTGGTCATATTACCCGGCGTTCTCCACCATCTATCATCCTAAAGTTCTTATTGATTTTGATATTAGGATGAAAGAGATAGTCGAAGATGTGAAACCGTTCATCTCCGATCAGAGCGTGCTGGACGACATTCACAGCATAATCGTGGCGCTGGAATCGATGGATATCTTTAAGAATTTGGGTCTCCTCGATATGAAATGTAAGAGAAACTCACACCTGTCCCTTCCGGAAATGTATCCTGTTTGATCTCGTTGAAGAGAAACGATTCGTATTTTTCAGACGTTATCAGAGACATGTTCGACAACTGGGACGTGGTAAGATCGTACTTGGTCGACAAGATGGGAATTTCCAATGATGTCGCGTTGATGCTGAGCCAGGCGAAGATAGACATGATTTCCGTTTTCATGAAAGAGAGAAGGGCGCTCAGTTTAAAGGAGATCATTTGCTCGCCCAAGAAACTCGACGACATGTTGAATTTTAACGGCAGCATCACCGCCGAGGAAGTTAGCTCCGCGATTTGTCAGTTCGAGGACTCGCAGACGCAGAACGTGACGATAACCCTGATAAAAAATTTAAATTTTAATTACATCTTTAGCACGGTTAGTATTGATTCGCTAATTAAGAAGAAATCGCGGCTCCTTTTGGACTACGAACGAAGTTCGTTGTTTCAGTTGAAAAGTGCCAACGTGAAAAGTATACTAGCCAATGCAAACTTAACGGAAACGGAAGGAAAGATGGTGCTGAATAATCTCGGAGTGGCTGCGGAGCTATTGCCATTCTTCAGGGACAAACTTTCCTCTAAAATGCCGCTGGCAGAAGCTTCGAATTCGAACGTCGAGGAAACAACAGATCAAACAGTCTCCGGTAAGTTATGCAAAATTTCGAAATTGAATTAGCGTGGTTTAAGGATTCAATAAATATTCAAATGCATCTCGCAGCCTCGAAGTTTCTTCAAGATTCTAGCCAAATGCTTTGTGGACAGCCGATGGTTTCCGACAACGGGGATTTGTACAAAATTATTTCGAAGATCGAAGACAACAGCAAGGAGTTCGACCAGGAAGAACTAGATTCTTTGCCCAGTTAGTATCAATGATAATGGATGATCAAACATTGTAGAATCTGCAATACATTGTAGAATATAATTTGATGAATTTATTTTGTAAGAACTTTAAATAATTGTTCTTCTCCAGCCGATTTCTGCAGGAACACTTACAAGGGGATGGTCGCTATGGGTGGCGGTAAAATCATATGGTCCTACGTTAAACCCCTGCTACGAGGTTACATCCTTTATGCCCCTAATACCACCATAGTGAACGAAGTGATGGCATTGGCTAATAGAACGTTCGTAGAAATGGAACATTTCGGGATATTGATGGATAGTTTCGAGAAAACTTTGACCTCGTTGGCGAACCTCTCCGAAATGAGCGATAGTCTCAGGGAGCTGCAGGACATAATGTCCTCCGATGTTATAAAAATAGCGATCAAATCCTTCGGCGGTGGCAATTTCGAAGGCGGTAAGTTCAAAGGACAATCTCCCACGTAATATACATCAAAGGATTTTTACCCTTTTATTCAAATTATTCTCCCTATTTTACGATGGACATAGAGATGCAAACAGGCTCGTTTTTTTAAATCTCTTTCAGGAGATTTCACGGATATGAATCTTAGCGAGATCTCGTGGCGACTTAAGAGGTCGAAACGTCTGATCACGATGGTCGGTATGTTGAATGATTTATTGGAGTGCGTGCTCGTGGATCGAATAAAGGGATTCCGGACCGAGAAGGAAATGGAGGCGGAGGCAAGAGTTCTGATGGGGACACGACAATTTCTAGCCGGTGTTGTTTTTTTGGATAAAAGCTCGAGGTCGGAGAGATCCTTGGATCATCAATTACCCGAGAATGTTGTGTACAAGATCCGAATGGACGTCGATTATGTCCAGTCGACCAAGAGACTAAAGAACCAATTTTGGACTCCTGGTCCGGAGAGCAGTTTTATAGAGCACCTCAGATATCTCCGAGGATTCATACAACTGCAGGACTCCATCGACAGAGCGATCATTAAAACGAAGAGTCAAAGAGATCAAAATTGGCAAACCATGACTCAACAGATGCCGTATCCTTGCTGGAAGGATGTACCGTGAGTACACTTCTCAACCTCTTAATACTTCTTTCTAATTATTCAAAATTACAGCTTTCAAACCACGTTGTACGAGTCCCAGGGTATTCAGGTCTGCTTCTTCTTTGCGCTGATGATGTGCGTCGGTGCTGCTGTTAGACACATTGTCTGGGAAAGGGAATCTCACAATGCTATGGTAAAACACTTTTCTGCTTAACCCGCTGAAAGTGCACTGACCCAGATCAGGGTAACCATAGAGTAAAATTAAGTTTCAAAACTTTTTAAGATTTTCATAAGATAGCACGGCAAGATTTGGAAAATAAAACTGCAGGAGAATTAAATTATCTAAAGTTTTTAATTTTTAGGTGATGAGCGTGATGGGGATGAAACCTTGGAGGAACACCATGGCCTGGTTCATAACAACGTTCGCAGAACTGTTAATTGTGATGTTCTCCATCAGCCTGGTGCTCCTGGCTGGGAAAATCCTACCGAAGTCTGACCCTTCGTTGATCTTGATCATGATGATCGATTACTCGTTCTCGATCGTTACCTTCTGGTGAGACTTCATCAAATTTTATGCAAGAGAATTCTTTTCTAAGTAACTTAATTTTCAGTTACATGATCTCGACCATATGCAGCTCAGCAAGTTTGGCTGCCATCATCACTGTAGTAATGTTCCTGTTAACATTCATGCCGTACGTCATCGTCATTGCTATGGAAGCTGTACTAGGTCTCGGTTATAAGCTTCTGATAGTAAGTTATCTCATAACTTACATTATATATTTTATAACAATTCTAGGATAAATACTGACTCGATAAAACTTTCAGTGTCTCAGTATGTCGACCAGTTTCTGTTACGGCTGCTTGTACGCAGCCAGAAAGGAAGTTCAGGGCACAGGATTAACTTGGGGCGAAATGTGGCAGGAATCTAGCCCCGGTGATTCGATGTCTTTGGGTCTGGTGCTTCTAATGATTGCCTTCGATGGCTGCCTTTACGCCTTAATCGGTTATCTGGTTGCCAAGTACACGAACTCAGGTAGAGACTAAAACATTACTTGCGAAAAGACTAAACCTGAATTCTGTAGAATCGATCTTTCAACGTCTGGTGGAGGTGTCGCGAGCCCGTAGAATTTCTACTATTCTCACACTTTTTTTTCTTTTTTTTTTAAGTTTGAATTATAAGCTCGTGAGGGTGTATCACACAGAATTTTTTTGAGATTAAAACAGAATATGTGTGCTCTATGGTGTAGGTATTCGGGACTTTAAGTGTTCATTTCTGTGCTGTTTGTGTTACCTATCTGATGTCATTTAAAAAATTTAAAAGCTGCAGAGTACGGTGCAGAACAAGTGCATCGATCGCTAACCCTTTTTGTCAAAATATTTAACTGACCTTTCCTGAAAACGTGTTCAAAATGATAAGAAAGGGTTACGTCGGTGATACTTATCGCGCCATGTGTAACAACGCGGAGGAGTTTTCACGAGCACCTGGTTTTGCGCACTTTCACGAAAAGGCAGGAAAATATTAGTGACTGTAACGTGTCCCTGAAACGACAGAAGTCAAACCCGGTGAGTTTCTGGAAAAAACGAGGCCAATAATTTTCCAGGCAGGGGCTTTCACGATTTGAGGTCCCGTAGCTTATGGTGGGCCGACACACATTCTCTATATGGCAGGCCGAGCTACCTCGCCTTCGTCAACAACCTCTATTTCACTAACGACGTTCTCCACCCTTCAGCCACTTACCAAGGTATCGCACTCGCCCTCTCTTCCGCTATTGCACGTTGTTTTTTGCTTCCCTTTTCTTCTTTCTTTATCTCGCTTCCGGTATCTTTCGCGCGGGTTGTTTTCTTGTTATGCAAATTCTGGGAATTCTCTGTTTGCGCGAGTACAAGAACCGCGGAGGCAACAAGCATCGAGAACATTGCCGTAACTAGCTGGGGATCAGAGCGCGTTTGCTGATAAATCAAATCAAGGATTCTTCCAAGCTACAAATTTCTAAATTCGATTCTTCAAGCTGACAAATATTCAAGTTTCCAAATTTCTAATTTCTAAATTTTGCAATTCCTGAATCTTCAAATTTCCAAACTTCCGCATCTTCAAATTTCCAAACTTCCACATCTCCAAATTCCTAAATGTCCACATTCTCACACAACTCACGTTTCTAAATTTCCACATGTTCGAAAGACTATTAAGTTCCGGATCCCAAGCTAGTTACGTCAATGCAAGCAGTTCGATTTTTATAAACGTAAGTCATTTTGTTTCACAAGCGAAGAGCAGTTCGAATATTTAGATTGCACCGAATATGCAAATTTCTGTAGCTACTTCGTGAGCGGGACGCTTAATTTATTCAATGCTGCAGTCCGAATGCATTACGAAACTGGCTTCCTGGGAAAATTCTTCGTGATGGTTCCCGTACAACTGTTTGTTCGAATTTGATGTAAACCCAGCCAGGGTGTCGGGATGTTTTAGATATTTATATTGTGCACGCATTACAGTTCTCTTATATTCTACGAATGAATGCGGTCTCTGACGGTTGCATGCTCCGCATGAATTACAGAATTTCATTTTCCTTCTGGCACCAGGAATTCGTACAAAATTGTATATTTATCATTAAGCGAATTCCGTTAGGAGCATCCGCTTTTTGTAAGAAAAGACGTACTTTATTAATACGCTTACTCGAGGATTTTGGTAAATCAGAGGGTAAGGCTTGCTTCCCGATGCAATTTTCTCTTTGTATCGATTTCTACTCAGAGATGCATACATTTTTTACATTACGAGCGTAGACGAAGACAGCGATGTCAGCAGTTTGACAGTCAGCGAGAAGCAAACGGGGGTGAGATTCGAGAGTGTCAGGAAGGTTTACAATACGGATCAGGGCGAGGTTGTAGCCGTGGATGATTTCACGCTGAAACTTTGCGAGGGCGAAGTCACCAGTCTTCTAGGAAGAAACGGCGCTGGGAAAACAACAATCATGTACGTATCCAATCCTTTAAAATAATTATTAAACTCGTTCGAAATTATTTTCTGATCAGCTTCTTCCTTTATCGTTCGGATACCATGATATCCATTCGCAAATGGCGGAAATCCGGATTCATTCTCATCTTTTGGAGTGTGTACTTTCGTTTCAGCAAGATGCTGACGGGGATGCTGGCTCCGACCACCGGTGAGATTTGTTTGAACGGTGAAGAGGGCTGCAAACCCGACATAGGGGTTTGCCCTCAGGATAACGTGCTCATCGGCGCTTTGACGCCCAAGGAACATCTCATCTTTTACGCGAAACTGAAACGGCCCAGGGAAACTGTTACCATGCAGCGGAACGTCGATGAGTAAGTTCATCGACAAATTATTATTCTTTGATTAACTTATTGCTATATCGAGGACGTAAAGATTCAGAGACAGGCAGGTAGGTATGGTAGATAGATAGGCTAGATAGGTAGGCTAGAGAGGTAGGCTAGATAGGTACCTAAGAGTGTAGGCATACAGGGGTGTGATAGAAAGATTCATAGGTATAAAATTTAATAAAGATCTGAAGAATATACGAATCTAAATATGTTTCAATCTGCAAATATAAAAATTTGTGACTACAGAAATCTGGACATATTGATATCGTGTACGAATATGGAAATACAGAAAGACATGTCCAGATCCAAAGTAGGTGAACGCCTAAGCTTAACGTCTTATTGTAAAATTCCGTTTGACAGAATGTTAACGTCGCTGGAGCTGGGCAAACAGGAACACGAGCCAGTGTATCGTTTGTCAGGCGGTACAAAGAGAAGGCTCTGCGTGGCTCTGGCGTTTCTAGGGTCTCCAAAGCTGGTGATCCTTGACGAACCCGGCGCAGGTGTAGATCCGGCTGCGAGACGAAGGATCTGGCGTTTAATCGATCAGCACAGAATCGGCAGGACTGTCATTCTGTCGACTCATCATTTGGACGAGGCTGACATGTTGAGCGATACCGTTGTGGTGATGCACAAAGGGAAAATACTGTGCACGGGATCACCTTTGTCTTTGAAGATGATGCATGGTCGTGGTTACCGACTCTTGGTGTCGTTTCCCAGTGATCGCGAGGATAACACGGATTCTATCGAGAGGAAGAAATTGGAGACCTTGAAGAGCGTGGTCGAAGAGGTGGTGCCCAATGCGGTCACTAACGAGATATCGGGCACTGAGGCTGTTGTCACGTTGCCTTTCCAAGGGAAGAATGGAATTAATAACAAGTATGTTAATGTTGATAAAAATTACTAATATGGAAATCTACTGTTATTCAGAAAGAAAATGTTAAAGTTCCTAGTTTCAAAATATCTGAAGTCCTAATGTGGCAGAACTTGAAATCTCAAAGTTGTAAATGTACAAAGTGTAAAACTTGTCAAGTTCAAAAATTCCTAAATTTCAAAGTCCCAAGGTTCCAATCTCCTAAAGTACCAAACACTCAAAGATCAAAAATACCGAAAACCCCAAAGTTGCTAAATTTCAAAGTCCCAAAGTTGCAATCTCCCAAAGTCCCAAACACTCAAAGACCAAAAATACCGAAAACCCCAAAGTTGCTAAATTTCAAAGTCCCAAAGTTGCAATCTCCTAAAGTCCCAAACACTCAAAGACCAAAAATACCGAAAACTCCAAAGTTGCTAAATTTCAAAGTCCCAAAGTTCCCATCTCCCAAAGTCCCAAACACTCAAAGATCAAAAATACCGAAAACCCCAATGTCTAAGTTCACCATCTGATTTACCAAACTGACATTAGCATTGCGCAAGCTGCCAAAGTATTGGAGGACAGCCGCAAAATATTGGGCTACTCCCACTTCTCCCTGGAATGCGACACCCTGGAGCGGGTCTTCCTGGACCTCTGTTCGCGAGCAGAGAACGGATCGGTTATCAGAGTCAGCCAGGACAGCGTGACAACAGTGGATCACGTCGGTGCGTAAATTGACGCAGACGATATATCCCCAGAAAAACTGATCTCTAGTTAATGTATGAAATTTAATATACCACAGGTCTAACGATGCCCAAAGAAGGCGTAGACCTGATCGACGTTGAACCCATTTTACATCCTTCCCCTATTAGACAGGTGAAAGCCTTGCTGAAGAAAAGATTGTGGCATTTCAGAAAAGATTGGCTGACACTTTTAGCCGGTCTTTTCTTGCCAACAATGTTCGTCGCGGTTGCAATGGGATTTTCTTTGATCAGACCGCCATCCGAGGATGAGCCTGCGCTTGTTCTCTCTCCGAAATTATACGACACGCATCCAACTTACTTCTACAGGTATATAAAACTGTTAAAAAGCTAGTTATTAGTACTGATATTTATTAATTTATTTTAGCATCGACGGTAGCGAGGATTCGTTTCTGCAGCACGTGTCTCTTCAGCTTCACGATCGGTTTGGGGATGATTACGCCGGAGCGTGGCAGACGTTGCCTAATGTACGATGAGAAATTAAACGAGAGGTATTTTATAAGTATTTGTTTAACGCGATTGTTGTTTAATCAGGACACAGGAACGTGCCAGTGTTTGGACGGTCAACAAGTCTGCCACGGTGTGTCGCAAGCGGTCGAGGGTCTGTTACAGGTTTTACCTGGTAGACCCACACTTGACTGGATAGTGTCCACTCATCAGGAGTATATAGAGAAAAGGTATCTCGAGGAAAAATATTTCATCTAAAGCTATAGTTCGTCCAATTCCACTGTAACGATATAGTGGATTAAATCGGAAATAATTGAATGATGGTTTTTTTGACAGATACGGAGGATGGTCACTGTCTCATGCGAATAACGAACCATTATTCGTTGTCTGGTTCAATAATAAGGGTCATCATGCGTTACCTTCTTATTTGAACGCCCTAAACGAGGCAATCCTGAGGGCATCTGGAGTTCAGGGTCACTTAACGACCCTCAATCATCCCTTGAGACTATCCAGCGATCAACTGAACCGTACAACCCTGTAAGTTACCATTCGCTACAAAAAGAAACAATGTATACTTAAAGCTTATGTAATTTCTCAGTGGTACTTGCCAGTTTATTTATAAAATAAGGGTAAAATGTAAAGTTGTGAAATTGCCCGTGACAATTGAAATACTTTTGAGAAGTAATGCATATTTTCATAAGTTCAATCCAATTAACAGTCCGGACCTGATCTTATTACTCGAACCAAATGCAGCGGAAAACGCGCATAATAAAATTTACTTTTAATTAACTCGCTATGCCTATATGCGTTTCCCAGTTTTAATCCGATTTCGTGGATTTCATTATTCGAATCCTATTTCTCAGTTAATCTGCTCAACGATTTCGTGTCCATTTACTGCATCACCCTTTAAATATTAATGCCCTCTGTCGACGCGAAATTTCGCTCGATTTAGGTTGCAACACGTGGCGGACGTCGGTGTGGCTTTGGTCCTTTTGATCGCGTTCAATTTGGTAGCTGCTCAGGGCTCCAAGGAATTGGTACGTGAGAGATTGTCGGAGGAAAAGAGGATCCTTTTCCTGGCAGGAGTCCATCCTGTCACCTACTGGACCACCGTCTTAATCTGGGATTTCTTTGTGAGTGCTAGAGTCAAAGGAGAGCGACGTTAACGAAGATCGATCAATTTCAATTCCATTTCAGATATTTGGCTGCTCCATTGTTTTGGCTGTGATCGTCTTCGAGATGTTCGGTCTCCCCGCGTATGTCGCGAGGGACAATTTACCTGGGATCTGCCTTCTGTTGCTGCTCTTTGCGTAAGTTTTTTCGAATGGAGATCTCCTTTAACAGTTCGTAGTAATATAAAAGCTTATTGTACACTTTAGGTGGGCAGCATTACCCTTCTCTCACCTGACAGAGAAGATATTCGACGACTCCAGCATGTCGAACATGGTGCTGTTCTGTGTGAACACCTTCATAGGCGTAGCATCGCTAGCCACCATCTTGGTGCTCGACATTCTTGGCAGAACAAAGACGGCGGAGGACGCGAGGAATATTTTGCACAACATTTTGCTCATATTTCCGCAGTACGCCTTAGGCGACGCTCTGGTCCAGATCTCCAGAAACGACATCACCGCTCAGTTGCTGGAACAGTTCCACATGGACACGTATCAGTCACCGCTAGGCTGGGAACTTCTAGGTCCACATTTCGTGTACCTGGCAATAGTCGGCACCGTTCTCTTCTTCTTGAATCTGTTGATCGAATGTCGGCAGCTCCCCACGTGGAACAGGCAGAAGCATCCTTACGAAGCTGTTCAAGAGGACGACGATGTATCCAAAGAGAGAATGAGAGTGGAAAGTGGAATGTCCGACGATATCTTGCAAACGGTGAAATTACGGAAGGAATATAGGAGCGTCTACGGGACGAACGTAGCCGTACAAAATTTAAGCATCGGCGTGCAAGCCGGAAAGTGTTTCGGGCTTTTGGGAACGAACGGCGCCGGAAAGAGCACCACCTTCCGGATGTTGACTACGGAGATCATACCAACGGCCGGCAGGATCATACTGAGGGGTAAAGAGATCGATTCCGGGCCACTTTGCAACGGAGAAGTAGGTTATTGCCCTCAGAGCGACGCTCTGGATGGTTTCCTCAGTCCGCATCAATGTCTCACGATTCACGGAGAAGTTTGCGGCTTGAATAACGTTCCCAAGGTGAGAGTCGAAAACTTGCAATTCCATCGTTCCCTTTTTCGGAAATGAGATTGTCTCCACGTGAATTTTGCAAAGTTCATTACGTTTATTCGCTCTTATTTTTACCTGTACTCTTACGTTCGTTCTTTGTGTCTTGTTTCAGGCAGTCGAGTCGACCCTGAAGAGACTGGATCTTCTGAAATACGCTCACAAAAGGGTGAGCAGTCTCAGCGGAGGTAATAAAAGGAAACTATGCACCGCCTTGAGCGTAATGGCGCCGGTGCCCGTGATTCTAATGGACGAACCAACGAGGTATATCAGTAAATGGATTTATTAGAAGCGTCTCCTTTCGCAAACATTCTATTCGTTTTCTCTCGCAGCGGTATGGATCCTGCCACGAAGGAATTGGTCGCCAAAACGATAACGCGAATGACGAAGAATCAGAGTTGCGTAATCCTGACCTCGCACAGCGTCACAGAGTGCGAGAACTTGTGCAACAGGGTCGGTATTCTTGCCAAAGCTGGTCTCAGGTGTATAGGAACGCCGCAGCATCTAAAACACAAGTAAGCTGCTCTTTCGAAAATTTGCGTAAACCCATATTTACTCAGCGTCGATGTTGAACATTAAGTACCTACCGAACTTCGCAGAAAAATATTCTGTAACATAGTTGCCGATTAAACACGGACAAAATTACCGTGGAAAAATTAATCGTGCCACTGCTCCGCCAAGCGTTAAGATTTTTATTTCCCTGAGCGGTAAAAAACGATTCGGAACAAAAAGAATAAAAATATATTAAAGTACGAAAATAAAACGCTCCAGAATATTTCTGCGAGCGAATTTTTACTGGGACGTTGGAAGAAATAAAGGCAACTATTGTTAGATTTAAAAACTCCATTTGATAGGATATACCATTAACGATCGCAACAAAAACATCCAATTATTCCGGACGAATATGCAAGCACTGATATATCTGGCCAGGATTAATTTTCTGCCGGTGCATTTTAATGATGTTGTTTCAACTGATGGATCGTTCGTGTCGGTTTGATCTCTCGAACGGCTTTCTGACAAAATTCGTAACACGACAATTTATTTGCCGTTCACCATTCGTGTTCCCGATTGATTTTTAATTTCGCCCATCATTCTCCGTGCTATCATCCGCAGGGAATTCTATCAAATTTCAACCGGAAACATTCGATCAATCGGTAGGAGATTACAGCGATACCGTGTTACAATTTTTTCACCATTGCAACGATTAAATTTCTCTTTGGAATGATGTAGCGTGCCATGAACACTGATGGATCCACGGATGAACTATCGTTCCCCTCGACAGTTGTACAAATTTTACAAAAATTCACTTATATCGTTTTCCAGCGTTTTATAATAACGCGAGGTATATACACTTTTGCATATTTCACCATTTTCGTCTCGGAAATAAGGTTTCCGGATCCGCCCCTGGCCATAAATATTTAGCTGGGACCTCTTGTCTCTGGGCGCAACTCGGATAAAACGTCTCCGTCCTCTTACAAAGCGTGTTCCTTTCGCGCCTGGCCATCGAGCACGAGAAAATTTACGATATCTTGAGCACGTGCAAACCTGGATACCGTCCCGTAATCCATCCACATCCTCGAGAGCATGGCGCCTTGGCAAGAAACCGGCCTGTCTCGTTGGATTTTCTTTAGTCGAAGGATAAACAGTAGGATATTCTCACGTATGAAATACTGGCCGTAATATCCAGCTACCGAAAGACGCCGTAAACTTTGTTTCACAACTCAGGACGAGTTACAGTAGCTGAAATTCGATACCTATTTCAAACTCCCTCGCTGCGAAATTCTTTCTACCGCAGTTGCAATTTAATTGGGATATTTTTCATATCGAAACTACAATTCATCGCCGATAATGGTATCTTGTTTAATGGCAGGATTTATGGAGAGCAGAAAGCAATTTTAGGATGATTAGAACGATTTATTAGAATGATGTGAAAGATACACGTACATATGTACTAAAAGTGTGTGTGCGGTTTGATACGGTTTATACAAGTTCGTTTTCACGATACAGAATTCATTTATTAACATCATTTTTGTTTATCACGGTTACGGGAAAAATATTCGACTCCAATTTTTCAGTTTTATCAACATAGATCTTACGCCTCGTAGCCAATTGATGTTACGCTAGCAGATTTCGCAGCGTTCTCTTTCCCGTAAACGTTCATGTAAATTTACGGAGCAGTAGTTACGAACGCAACCTGTCCTTTTTCCCACGGTATAATTTATCGACGCTGACACGCGTATTTCCCTGTAAATGAATACGAATAGAAGAATCCGTTTATAAACTGGTCCGCAGTAAATAACCGTTACTAAAATATTGTTCCTTATCGCGGTTAAATTCGATCCTTGACAAAGAGGAGGTAAAAATTTGAAAAACTGCCGGGAGTATTTCTCCACTCGTCGACGTTTTTGTCCGCAGGTTTGGAGAGGGCTACGTGGCGTTTTTGCGATTCAGGCAACCAGTTTCGTCGGCGGACCTGAGGAAGATCCTGGTGAAATATTTTCCTCAGGCTACGGTCTCGTCCAGACAAGCGAACGCTGCTCGCCTGTTGATACCACGGGCCCAAGACATGGCAGTGAGCACTAGCTTTAATAAACTAAAGCTTCTGGCCGAGGAACTGAAAGCCACGGATTACACGCTGACTCAAAGTTCGTTGGATCAGGTTCGTATCGAAAGAGTTTCTACGTGTGTGCACCGACACGGCTTTTGCGCAGGAAACTCTTTAAATCCGATCAATTTGTCCTGCCAAACTTTCAGCCTTGATTCCAAATAAAGTTGAAAATGGTTAGCTTAAGTGAATATCGGTAAAAACTTCAGCGTCCAGAGTTGCAGAATTTCTTTGAGTTTTATTACGTATTCAAATACACATGGAGTATCTACAGATTCAGAATTATGTATCCTGTCTGAGCATTGTGACACAAGAGTACGAGTTATAGCCCACGACAGATCAATCTAGACAAACGGATAAAGTTGAAGGCGAATCGATGAAATTGTAGAGAGAATTCGGCCGTCTCGCAGATGATGCACAACCAAAGACAATCCTCGTCTACGTCTCACCTAACCCGAGGAATATTAATGGATCTGTTGTCTTAGGGGTCTTCTGTACAGTTCCTCTCCATGGTTTATAACCGTTTGCGAGAACTAAATCCTGAGCACCGTCTGCTCGCTCTAAGCTGCCCTAAACGTTTTCTGATTCGCCTCGCGTTAGACCGGGATCCGTTGCATCTGCAAAATCGTTAGTAATTAATTACTTCCTAGGAACAATTTAATTTTGCGCAGTAACGAAGTAACTTTCGACCCGTTTAATCTTCTTCGCGAGCCGGAAGAATTCCTAATGTTGCAACGCTGATGCAGCCCTTTCCCGAGACCTTTATTAGCCCACGACCTTCCGTTCACGTCGCGAACGTAACCCGCTGTCGGAAGAATTTTTCATTTAGCCGAGAAATAAATGTCTCGTCGAGGATGAGATGCCGACCGTGCAACCATGTCCACGCTATTGCCACCGATCGATCGACCTCCTCTTTTGTCCCCGTGAAAGGAGACGATCGAATCCTTCAAGATCCTCCATTTTCCACGAGATTACGCAACGATAACGTGTCATGTCAAATGCAATTAGACTGAATCGCTTTAAGAAAAGGAGATTTGCAGGTCTCTTCCAAATTCTGCACTTGGTAGATTTGAATGCTTCAAATTTGCATGGAGTTGTTAATAAAGAAACGCGATTTGTATGCTAATTAAAAGAATCACACTTTGAGAAAGAATGTTGACTTAAGTTAACCCAAGGCATATCAAATACTCATTAGTATCGAAGTTAGCACTAGTTAGCACTGATCGAAGTTAGGTATTCAATTAGACAGTACCAAATTCCTTCTGATTGTATAAGGAGAGTGGATCCCGCAACTTTCTAATTTGAGCCTTCTTTTTTCGAAGCAGCGAAACTTTCTCGTTCCCAATCTGACCGTAATAAAGCATTCAGCAGGTTTTTCTTGAACGGCAGCCTAAATAAATGATAGTCGAGCGATTACGAGGTTGAAGCCGTCTCTATATTCAATGGAATCACGTTCGCATCGTTTGTTCGCGTCTCGCGAAGCTTGTCCCGTCTCCTTAATGGAGATAAGATTCGAGACCGTATATATACGGGACTGTCACAGGATTTTCTTGATCCAATTATGTTTACCCGTACACAAAGCTCATCCTCGGAGATTAGGCTACGATGGCTGCTCCTTCGTCGTAAACTCTCTGGGCCCGTCAGAATGTATCTGCTTCTAAATCCACGCTTAATAATCAATTTCGAACATCCTGGCGCTTAATTAATCGGCATTGGTTGCTGGAGCATTTAGCGCAATTGATATCCTTTGAGCATTTCTGGACGGACTTAATTAATTCTCGCGCGGAGCAAAAGGGACGGGTACACTTTGGTCCCTACGTTACCGATGATAATTAAAGGAAAATAGAAACGAAGAGTTCGGAAGTTGATCGAGCGTAAACCGGGAACAATTTAACCGCGGCGACGCGAGAATATTAATTAAGCGGACCACGATACGATTGGCTGAATAATAATTCGGTATCGTTGGGAAATTATGAAAACAGCTGAATAACCAGGCGACCGTGCATTATTCTTCGTGCTGTTTCACTCTGTTATTCACTTCGACGTTCTCTGTATAAATTCGTTCAAATTCTTCCTTCTTTTATGCTCCTTGCATATTGTCTATTTAAGCTTAAAGGGGTCTCAATTTCGGTCTCAATCAAAATTGTTATTAGCAGAGAGGGAGCAAGCTTTCGTGTTATCTTTGTGAAATTATACGCTGATGGATTCTCAAGATAGCTCACAAGTTAGAGCTCACCGATTAAAAAGCAATCAAGGTCGATTAAAAAGCAATCGAGAGAAAGAAATGACATTCAGGCACAACTCTAATTTCATTTGCAAATTGTATAGCGCCCTTTAATACGCTCGAAAGTGACTGAATTCAGGTCGACGTAACTTCGCACTTCGAATCGAGCCTTGTCTCGAGACGTGTTCGCTAATTAAGGCTAAGCATCGGTTGTCGCACTTCGACGCAATGATACCTTGTAAGAAACGTAATAAAGCCCGGCACGTGAGGGAGGAAATAATCAGCGTGCAATTTTTATTGCCAAGAGAGGGAAAATCAACGCAAGAGAGAACTCGTAATAAAACGTTTCGTTTGGACAGGAAAATGAAATTCTAGTTTTGATGAAAAACAAATATAATAAGCTGGCACATTAAAGTAACTTGCAGCAATAAAAATAACGCGAGCGTGAACTTAATTGCTATTTGCAGCCAGCTCACATTTAAAATCAGGGATATTTTCACGGATCAAAAATATTGTCGGAGCAGATAAAATTTTTTGCGGAAGGTCCGGTAAAGGCAGACAAATTCCGACGGGTTGTCCTCGGAATGGCCGCAAAACAAGTTCGTCGGAACGTGGTTTTCGCCTCTCCGGGGTGAGCTTGTACGTAAACCGCGTAAACTCGCCTCGCTGCGAGAGTTTCGAGATTTTTATGGTTCCTCGTCGGTGGGAAAGTGGTTCCGTCCTCGATGCCGGCCCCTCTTCTTCCTGCTTTATTCCTCTTCACTCGAGGACCGTATTCCATCGCGGAGGACGCGATAAACGACCACTGCATCCGATGCAACGACCGAAACTTTACGTATCTTCGTTCGGACGAGATGCGTGCAACTTTTATGCTTCCCCATTTGCAATAATTGCCAATTTACCCGTTACGATACATTTCACGCAGACGAGACTGCTGCCAATAGCTTCGCGATAAATTCCCAGAAAAAAGGAGAAGAATTTTCGATCTCGTAAACGTTGTCGCGATAATTTTTATCGGCTACGTAATTCCAGGGGAGCTTTCGCCTCAAACTTTTATGGTTTTTACATTTTCAAACTTTTCAGCTTACGAATTCCCAAGATAAATCTGAGGATCTCTTTCTTCGAAATCATCAAATTCCTGAACCTTCAAGTTCTTAAATTTACAAGTCCCAATTCCACCATTTTTTAGACCCATTTCAAAGTCTGCAAATTAAAAATTTACAAATTTCTTTTTAAATTTTGTCATATGACTAATGCAACGTTTCAGGTACTGGTTAATTTCTCGGTGGAGATGGATACCGAGTTCGACGGGTCGATTTACACGCAGGGTAGCAGTAACAACGTCTCGAACGTTTACTCCAGCAGGGACACCATTCACATGGAAACGTTCTAAACGACTTCAGAAGTGAGTCGAAGCTATCAAGTATCGATCGTTACATATCTTGAACTTTACGCAGTTTACAGATCCGTCAATCGCTGGCACATAGATCCTGGTGACTTCTGTGATATTCTTAAAGATAGGGTTTGCCTATCAGATAAAAAAGCCTGTCACATTTTTACAATTTGCAACCTATTGCCGCAATTCTTTTTATACGTATTTGATTGTACCGTTTTCATCGGATTTGTTTTATTAATACGAAGCGTGACTCGTTAGTATTATTTCCTGTAAAATTCTTAATTAAGCATCGCGAATCGATAGTAGCTTTAATTCTAGAACGCGATCGTCCGTTTTTCCCGTTTAAATACACGGGCGTCGCTGATAAGAGTTTATATATATATAACCGTGATAATGTTGGTTACATAAAAGTGAAGAAATCGGGTCAACTATTCAAAAATTTCCACGCTGCCTGATAAATACACGTTATTACATCATATTTATAAATTCTTTTCTGTCATTCCGTCAACGTTTATGCGTCGATTAATTGTAGATATCCGTCACGTCATATTACCTTCGGTTATCATTAATTCTAAGATTTCAACGCGTTGATTGTCACGGTGGTATCGATTATCAGAGATAACTTTCGAGTGCTTTTTAGTTGTTGACGTACCATTACGGTTATCGCTAAAAAATTCATCATTTTCCTTCGAACTAATGCATGCACTTAAAACCGAAGCATAAGTCCTAGAATTAGTATTACCTCAACAATTCCACTAAAATTGTATAACTAAAGGATCGTGGTAATCAACGTGTTAGAAAGAACATCGTTCAATAATGTATTAGTTCCTCGTTAAAAAGAAAATATACTATCAAACAAAATCAGTGGATTTGTAGATCTTCTTTACGAAACCAAAATTCCCAAATTTTTAAATCACACGAGTGACGTGAACTTTAGAGAACCTGACCCAACCAAGTTCTACTTGCGTCAACGATCACAGAAACTGTAGCAAGCTATAATCTCGTACACGTTTCAGTGTTATTTAGTTAGCGATTATGCCAGTAGAATCCGGTATATTCGAGTATGCTCGATACACCGGGTCGAAACGAAATTCTCCGCTCGCGATTATGTATCCTTATCAGCCGCGTATCAGACACGTAATTCATCCGGCGTAGATATCGTCATCGACGCACGATTCTAGCTCCAACATCGCGCGAAAATTCAGCTACGAATTGTTGTAAACACATTAACGTTTGATTATATTCAGTTCGTGATTACTAATTCAACTTTCGGTATACATAGATAACTGCAGTTACTTCCTTCAGGGTTACATGATTCACTGATATCAGTGACGTGTCGATATTGCAATGGGACGGTTGTGACTTATTCTGAAAAGTCGAATGACTGTGTCACTTGATACATTTGCAATTATTTCAATATATGATGGCCGGTGTTAGAAGATTACGAACAATATGGAGATGAAGGTGCAAAGGAGATAATTAACCCTTTGCACTATTTTGACGAGTCTGACTCGTGACGCACTCGAACTTCGCCCGTGATCAATTTTACTTGAATTTTTAATATGCTTCAATTTGGAGTTCAAGTCCAATTATAATTTGCATAATCAACGATTGCATAATAACATATTGACATAACATTTCAAGATTTTTTGTCTGTTTTAATATTGTAGCTGTAATTAGTCAGTTCCGAATGACGCACCTGACAAATAAGTCATAGTGCAAAGGGTTAATAAAAGACAAAGATTAAGTAAACACAGAATAGTTGATTTTAGAAATTTTGCAAAGGAAATGAGGTCGTACCACGGCTCGGTATTTCTTTATCCTTGCAAGATGCAGGAGAAGAAAAGTATCGAAAACCAATCAGAGTCGAAAAGAATCGAATACCGGCTGTTCGTTTTAAATTTCTTCGAGCTTCAATTCTTCGTATCGATTCTGGGACGGCTCTAGAACAGAAGCGGAAAATTCATCGACGAGTTCAATCGGGTTTTTTCCCTTTCGCGGACCCGTTCATTCTCTCGTTTACGTAAATCTTGCGCAGATCGAATTCACGAAACCTGTATGGAACATCCGAACGAACATTTTAGGAGGCTTTCGCCGTCTCGATTAAATAAGCACGCTGCGAAGTTGCCGAAGATGAGGCATTTGCCAGCGACCGGAAAAAGGGACGAGAAAACGGAAATGATATTCATTTGAATGGGTAGGATACATTCGCGCAGAGAATCGTTTGTCTACTGTGATTTGCTTCGTTAAACGCGGAACAATAATTTTATCGAGCTGCCGCGTTTCTGATGCGCTCATTATTCTTTGAACACGATATCGATCTTCTCTTTATGCAGGATGACAATTATTCGGAAATTTGTCGGTCATACACCTGTGTAATATTGTTCAATTTATCAATTTCGCGGAAATGGAAGCGATATTCGAATTTAAACAGGCGTTAGGTCTCCGCGTTCAATTTCCACGTGCTGTATTTTCGTGCGTTGAATTCCATTACGTCTCCAACTTGGATCTTCGAACTTGTACGTTCAATCTCCATACGTTAATATCGTAGGCTTACTCGTGTCGATCAACGCTTTAAACTCGAATCACAGCTACCGATAACGCGACACGAACGGTCGCTTAATTAAAGGTTTAATTTGAATTAACGAGTGTACTAAGGAGCACTCGGATCGAATTGGTTACGTGACAAGACTTTTTCGGCGCTTCATTGGTCCACTGGAAGAGGAAAGATAACAGAGATTAAGTCTCGTCGATTCCGTTCGATACAAAAGGTACATTATTAGTTTCTCCGGAACCTATTCTGCAAGAAGAATAGGGAATTAGACCGGGATTGATTTTGAATTAATCTTACGTGGAAGTAGCGACAGGCTCTGAATACGTGGCTCACAAAAGCTAAAATTACGAATCGAACTATTTATCGACGGCAGGATATTAATTTGCGTGGTCGATTCAGAGTTCTGAATAGCGAGCCAAAGTGTCGCACGATGAAATCGGGGTCGCAATTTACAATGACGTCACTGTTTCGTTGTTCGACACGTAAAGAATGTACCGAATCTGAACGGTTAACAGAGTACGTGTTGCCTTCGATCGCTCCCCTTTGTATCGGTTCAGACGCGTGAAAATTGCGACGAAATCGACGGAGATTTAGCGTGCGATTGAACGCGATCAACAAAGAGAATTATAATTGTTTTGGATACAACGGAAAATAATTTTGATTCCGGTACAAGCATAATCGGGTCATATTTCCAGCAGTACTAATGAAATTTGAATTGCGTGGAAGGACAATCGTCACGTTAAATAACCCGTTCCGCGAACCAGTATTACATATTATGACGGGTCGTTATTAATAATTCAATAACCCGGGAAATTACTGAACGTTTTGCAATTCCGCCGAGAGAATTTGCTTTCTAATCGACCTTAAGTGCATCTCCCAATTCGCATAATTGCGCGACTAAACATTCGTGACCTTCGAAACGAACTCAAGGATATTTTACTAAACAAGTTCCTGCGGCAACGCTTTGCAATTTCAATTAGCGGCATACATTTACTATCGTTTCTGTGAGAAGCCTATAAAATTGCGCTTGTTTCGCGTTTAAGAGACGAGGCTAATTAGGGGAACGATTCTCTAATCTTTTAACCTCGAGCCCTTGACGGCTCTTTGATACGAAACTAGTCCACGGAGTTACCCGCGTTCTTAAAGACGACAGACAGAATGATGGATCGATGATGGTGCCATTCGACTACGCAACGATATCAATTTGCCATCAATTTACACGTAATCGATGCAGAGGGTATCGTTTAAGACGCCGTCGAGTCGCCGTATCTTCGAAACTCGACGAGCAACGCGATCTCGCTTAACGAGAATGTTCGTTACGATTTCGCGGGAAGAAATTCTCGGCAACTTTTATCTGCTCCAGTAACTCCGAGTAATTTAAAGAGAGACGTTGCAATCCGGTCGTTCGATCAATTTCGTAAAATATCGATCGGAAATAACGAACTGCGGGATTATTTGCTCGACGTTTTAGCCGCACTGGAAACTAGGGAACACAGGTAACCGAGCGAATCGGAAAACCGGCTACGTACTTGCAGCTTTCGTTGAAACTTGGAAACAACTGCTGTCATTCGCAGATGCTCGCAACCGACGACGATGTTCTCGGAATATGTACATCCTTACTTTCGCGAACGTAAGAAACGTGATATCGTAGTTTGCGACAGCCTCATCAAGAAAATTGGGACAGAATTTAGAGGCGAATTGAAAGACACGAAACAACTTCTCCTTGAAGCTTAATTGTGTTCTTACGAGATGGAATGCACCTTGAACCACCGATTTGCACGCCGTTTAACCCATCTTGTGCCCCATCGATCAATAAGTCTTTTACGGAATGCATGACAGAACATTATGAGGATAAATTAAGGTAGACAAGTCGAGCGTGGTTTCCACAGGGAAAATTACAAGGGATTTTGCGATTGGAAAATTTGAAAGTTTGGCAGATAGAAAATTTGAAATCTCAGGAAGTTGGTAGAAGTTTGCAAAGTTCGATGAAATTTTGTGTCAATAAAGAAGTCTTAAACGAAGAGTTAATAAACTTTTATGGCGGTAGTTCTATGGCACTTGCCACCAGAGGGACCCGACTTAAGACGTTTTCTCACAAGTTCTCGCACAGCTGGCTGTTCCTATATATAGAACGTCTGAAAAGGTCCCTTCATCCCGGCGTCTAAGGCACGGGCCTGTTAGGATGCCTTACTGACGAGTCTAACTAGCAGGTCCCGGACGAAACGCGCTTCTCTCCCTTCCCCTCCTTTACCGATTCGCAGCACTTGCAGAACCCCCCGATCCGGCTCGAAGGACCAGAAAACGGCGCGCACAGTGGGGAACCAGAAATTCAAGGCAGGAAGGACAGCAGAGAAGCGCGGCAGCAGCAGCAGCAGCAAACGGCAGCGCAAACAGCAGCAACAACAAAATTTGGAGGCGTCAGGGCAGACGTTGCCCCAGCAGGCTAAAAAGTGTTGGTTCGGAGAGAACCCCCTGCGACCGGGTTTCGTAACCCCTCTCCCTAGGGCGGCCAACCAGCGGCAATTGCTCCTCTCGGTCGAAAAGAACATCAAGGGCCCAAACACGCCGCGGCACCGACCGGTGGGGAGAAGGACAAAAAATAGGAAAACAAAAAACAACCCAGAAAAAACATCCGGATGCAAAAAACCGCAAAGTTCAACACCTTGTCGCTGGGCTGTGCTAGGACAGCCGAAGTTACGACTGCAGACGGCTTGAAGTGGTTAAATTTGCCTTCGCCTCAACAAAAGCAGCATTTGGGTCGCAGCGCCTTGTATCAACGACGTAACATTCTCCAAGATCGACGCGATATGGGACACACAACTTCGACTACGTTTCTTCTCGATTGCGGTGTAGGAGGTTGGTGGTACCTACACTTTCTCGGCAAACAGAGTTGGGTCATCAGCAAGCGGCAACGAGCCCAGGAATCGACGAAATCGCTACATTTCAATTCTCTCAGTGCATACCCAACCTCTGTCACTTAGGTCCCGCGTCTAAGGCAGGGGCCTGTTAGGATGCCTTACTGACGAGTCTAACTAGCAGGTCCCGGACGAAACGCGCTTCTCTCCCTTCCCCTCCTTTACCGATTCGCAGCACTTGCAGAACCCCCCGATCCGGCTCGAAGGACCAGAAAACGGCGCGCACAGTGGGGAACCAGAAATTCAAGGCAGGAAGGACAGCAGAGAAGCGCGGCAGCAGCAGCAGCAGCAAACGGCGCAGCAAACAGCAGCAACAACAAAATTTGGAGGCGTCAGGGCAGACGTTGCCCCAGCAGGCTAAAAAGTGTTGGTTCGGAGAGAACCCCCTGCGACCG